CGGCCGACGCCGGCACCAATGTGCGAGTAGTTCACTTCGAGTCCCCGACGTGTAAGCAGCTATCAACAGCTCTAAACGAATTTCCGTTACATCAAGTGAGAGTACCCATTTTCTCTGGAAGATATCGTGAACCTTCTGACCTGTGGACTCCTATGTGCGATACATTGCCGGCAATAGTTTCCCAAGAGCGTTGACGAACCCCGTTCTGAAGCCTATCCCTAGGTACCCGTGGCGGTGTAAGGAGCGTTTGCGGTAAGTCGCCGAACCCCGGCTTTTATCATACAGACCTCAACTTCAGGAAGACTTACGCAACATTTTGATGAGATGGCGTTGTAAAAGAGTGTGTTTTATAGCTGATATAACTAAAATGTATCGGCAAATATTGGTTACAAAGAATGATGCCGACTACCAAAGAATAGTTTGGAGATCTAATGAGACTGATGATATACAAGAATACCGGCTACTTAGAGTAACCTTTGGCACTGCTCCCGCACCATATTTAGCAGTCAAAACACTTTTACAAGTAGCATCCGATGAAGGATCATCTATGCCTCTTGCTGCTAACACAATAAGAGATTCGTTTTTCATGGATGACCTACTTTCAGGAATGGACTGCGTTTCGGACGCTATAAAACTTGCTCATGACATCAAAAACATTCTACAGAAAGGTGGTTTTCAACTTACTAAATGGTCATCAAATAGCATTGAATTCATGAAGAGTATAGATGAAAAAGAAAGATCTAAAAAGGCTCAAGTAGATTTAAATCTTGATGGAGTCATAAAGGCTTTAGGCGTTACATGGAATCTCGGTAATGATAAATTTCAATACAATCTTAATCTGTCACCAATTACTAAACTTGTAACCAAACGAGAAATTTTATCTGATCTCCAAAAAATATTCGACCCGTTAGGTTGGATCGCTCCAAGTCTTGGCAAAAATCCTTATTCAGAAATTGTGGCTCGAAAGGGTCAATTGGGATGAGAGTATTAGTGAAAGCGTAGAAAAAGAATGGAGACAAATAAGAGCCGATTTTAGTAATATCAGAGAAATAGAATTAGAAAGATGGGTTGGCACACACAATACTGAAGAAGAAACTATTCAAATACATGGTTTTAGTGATGCGTCCATGCGAGCCTACGCTGCAGCAGTCTATATTAGAATCGAAAGGGGAGATGGTTCTATAGAAACAAACCTAGTAGCTGCAAAAACCAGAGTAGCACCATTAAAAACAATTTTATTGCCACGTTTGGAGCTATGTGGTGCCTTGCTTCTGGCCAAACTTATGTCACAAATTGGCCAAGCTTTAAGGATATCGACGGCTCATATGTATGCATGGACAGATTCATCTATTGTCATTGCTTGGCTTAGTGGGGAACCGAATAAATGGAAGCCCTTTGTGGCCAATCGAGTTGTTGAAATATTAGAATACCTTAGTAACAAACATTGGTACCATGTTCAATCGCACGATAATCCCGCTGACCTTGGTTCACGTGGGATGCTGTTATCAGAGTTGAAAAATTGCCATTTATGGTGGAAGGGTCCCCGCTGGTTATCTGAAAAGAAAATAAATATTAAAACACAAGCAGTAATAGAAACAGATTTAGAAAAAAAGACAATTAAAATAAACACTCACCTTCATATCGATATAGCTGCACCTCTGGAAAAAACATTACATTCACAATTTGACAATTTTAGCACATTAACTGAATTAATAAAAACTATTACTTACTGTAGAAGATTTTTAAGTTTTAGAAAAGATGCTGAAAATGTTATTACAGACCTTACAACTGCGGAATTAGAAGAATCATTAAATATCTGTATAAGAATGGCACAAGAATATGAATTTACCGAAGATATAGACAGATTAAAATTAAAGAAACCAGTAAAAAATAACAGTAAATTAAAATCACTTAACCCTTATATTGATGAGACACATATCCTCAGGGTGGGCGGTCGCCTTCGACACACTCAATTGCCATCTGACAGGAAAAATCCAATCATCTTAGGTAACAAAAGCTACCTCACTTATTTGATTGTTGGGAATGCTCACGCAAAGACACTGCACGGAGGAGCACAGCAAATGCTTTATTTCCTACGAACAAAATATTGGATACTGAAAGCTAAATTATCGGTAAAGAAATACATTCACAAATGTTACGTATGTGCAAAATTAAATGCAGCCACCAAGACACAAATAATGGGAGATTTACCTAAGGAAAGAGTTACTCCTTCGAGACCATTTCTAAACAGTGGGGTGGATTTTGCAGGACCGTTCCAAGTTTTGATGTCCAAGGGTCGAGGAAATAAAACTGTGAAGGCCTATATTGCTATATTCGTTTGCTTGTCCACTAAGGCAATACACATAGAATTGGTTGGTGATCTCACTACAGACGCCTTTATCGGAGCATTCAGACGTTTTGTCGCACGAAGAGGAAAATGTAGTCATTTGTGGAGTGACCAGGGACGTAATTTTGTTGGTGCTGCAAGGGAACTTCGTGAAGCCTGGAATGAAGCGAAATTTCAATTTTCTGGTAAAATAATATCAACTTTAGCAACTGATGACGGAACCCAATGGCATTTTATTCCGGCCTATAGTCCAAATTTCGGAGGATTGTGGGAGGCAGGCGTGAAATCAATAAAGTACCACCTTAAAAGAATATTAACATCTAATTTAACGTATGAAGAAATGACGACAGTGCTCTGCCAAATAGAAGCCTGCTTAAACTCTCGTCCCTTGTGTCCTGTTGAGGAAGATATTGATAGTCTCAATGTTCTTACCCCCGGTCATTTTTTAATCGGAGAAGCCCCAATCGTTGTGCCACACCCGGATATAAAAAACGCCAAGGTACACAATTTGTCTCGCTGGCAACATACTCAGAAGGTTCTCAGTGACTTTTGGCGACGTTGGCAAGATGAATATTTATCGCGTCTTCAAAAACGTCCCAAATGGTTAAAGGCTGATGAAGAATTTAAAATTGGAGATATAGTCCGAATAAAAACTGATAATTTGCCACCAGGAAAATGGTTACTGGGACGAGTTACAGACAAGCACCCTGGCGCTGACGGCTACACTAGAGTCTACAGTGTAAAAAGTGGCAATTCGATAGTCAAAAGGACTGTAACAAAACTTTGTCCTTTACCACTGAATTCGGATTAATAATTAATTTGTGCATGTGTTGAAGATTGTTTTAAAAGAACTTAATAGTTATATGATTTGTGCATGTATCATGTTAAAGATAGTTTTAAAAGAACTTAATAGTTCTTTGGTGGGCGGTATGTTGTAAATTCAAATAGCTTTATAATTTAATATTTCGAAAACTTCAAACTTTACGTAAACAAAGGTATTCTATTGTCTACCATATAACTATGTAAGTATAACTACGCGCATCATTGGTATCTTTCCTTATAATCATTTGTAATGGCATTTAAAAAACAGTCACTCAATAAATATCATTCCGAACACACGTTTCTTTGATTCGAACTTCCCAGTGATAGTGAACCTTATTACCGAAACAGAAGTGAAAACTTCTTTAGCACCGTAGTGATTTGAGATTCGATAAAAGGGAAGTAGAGTATTTGACACAAGATCCGTAAAGTTATCATTTATCATATAAGAGACGGATAGGCGAACGGTAACGTTCTTGGGGTCGACACCAACTTATCAGTGGTTCGATCCTGAGCTCGGTATTTTTTAAATTGTTTTATTTTTGGAAACAATTCAAGTAGTATAAAATATTTAATTTTGACCTAGACAGTTCAATTGTAACATAGGTGTTGTCTTTAAGACATACCTAGTCATGAAGGACTTTTACGTGTTCATTTTTTTTTATAACCAGATTCCCCAAGTTAAACGACGTAGTTAGGCTGATTTGATAAATCAAATTTTCACGAAAATATAGGGATTTTGCAAAAACACGGATAATTAGACAATGGCGATAACTTTGCTAAAGCTTACTGTTAGCGAAACTTTTGAAGTTTACGTCCAGGTGGCAGCTTTATTGTGAAGAAGATGCATTTTTTTACAATAGATGTCGCTAGGTGCGCTTAAATGTGATTCATGTAAGTTGATTTTTCTGGGAGATAAACTTTTTAATGTAATATAAATTTTCATGTTTGTATACGATAGCGCAATAAATAAATATTGTATTCTACCACATATATGATAGTACTTTTATACTGATAATTAAAGCAATTCGTGCAAAATTATTCCCTAACCATTCCAAAATATCAAAAATGCACAACGTTAATATTCAAGTTTTCACTTCTGCCCGTATCCCGGAGTGCAACCCGTCGGTTTTTTTCCTAGCGTCATGGTTACAACTCTATCCTAACTTAAAACCTAGTATGAATCTAAAAACCCGGGAATAATTATAATAAGTCAACGGTTCTTTTCGCAATCGACATGAAAATCCCTAGGATTTTCTCAAAAATTTGATTTATCAAATCATCCAACGACATAAACACAAAACTAAAATTCGGTCCTCGCACCCATTTTTGTGAAGAAAGGTTTTATTATGCGCATCAAGTTTCAAGACATATTCAAATGAAACCATAAAAATAAAATATGGTTGAGCGAAGCGATGGCTGGTTCATGCGTCATGCTCGTGAACAGGTGCTGCCAGCGGAGATGAGTCTGCCCTAACTTCCTTGATATTGGAGATGTTAATGTTTACTTAGATTTAATATAATTAACCCTATTTGTATTTACACTGTATAACACAGCAATCAAGATGCATGTAAACAATTAATGTATATTTAATCATTATGAAATGAAAGGTGACTTCATGAATCATCTCTGAAGTCATTTTTCAACTTTACGACTCTGTAAATAATAAAACAGGGAGAGAGAAAAACAGCTCTTGCTGAGTTTCTTGCCGATTCTTCTCAGTACAAAGTCTCCCGCCGTAGATTTACGAACCGATGGCGTATCTTCTAGACATTCATGAGTGCTTGTAACAGCCTAAATTGAATAAATGATTTTGATTGTGATTATGAACAGGCAAGGACTTCTGGACGGGCGGGCTGAACCCGGGCCTGCTGTGGATCTGGTCGCACTCGGCTAAACCGCTCAACGGCACGGAGGGCGACACCGTCACCGTGACCGGCGCCGGCCGCTGCCTCGCACTAGCGCACGACCCGGCGCGCGCCACCTACCTCTACCGGGGACACGACTGCTCTCTGACTCACAGGTATTAACATTTATCAGACTATCAATGTCCATAGGCTTATGTTTTTATTTATTTTTAAGCATTTAACTGCTAGATGTTTAAATCTAAAGAAAAGTTTACTAGAAAAAAATCCACGCGGACCAGACAGCGGACGGGAGTCGAACCCGCACCCTTCGCTATCCGGGCGAATGCACTGACCATTATACTACCACGGCCCTATTCGCCGCATTCCATAGGCTTGTTGAAAATATATCGATGTTTTTTGTTCGATATATCGATATTTTCAGAAGATACATTTAGTTCGATATATCGATACATCGATACAAAATAACCAATATCGAAATTCGTATCAAAAACGATATTTTTTTTATTATTAGCGGCATATCACGATCTAACTAAATTCGTATCTGGATCTCAGATTAATGATATTCGACATATCTATGATCTGTGCTGTATTTATATTGTCTATGATTTGTAAAGCAACATCGCTGGTGAATTGGTTGTGCTGAATTCCATTATATTCTGTAGAAGTGTGTGACTGTCTAGTCTAGTTTTTAGAAAATAGGATCTAGTTTTAGAGAGATAATTTTCGTTCCATTATTATTCCGCGTGTCATCTTTTGTGAGATACTGACTGTCATGTAGTGTAGCGGCAATTTGGTACTTTGATAATTCTTTCTTTAATTAAAATTTGTGTTGTTATTATTACTGTGCTAGGCTGACCTAATTATATTTATGGGAAAATTGGTCCGATATATCGATATATCGATGTTTTTCCCACGATATATCGAAGCCGATATTGATATATTTTTTAAATATCGATGTATCGATATATCGATATTTTTTTTCAATTTCGACATCCCTAAATGTTCATACTGCCTGCGGTCACGGGCCTTCCCGTGTGAATGGAATAGCCAATTGGGTCATAGCCGCTCAACGGCACGGAGAGACACCGTCACCGTATGTCTACCGGGGACATGACTGAGCCATTACGAACAGGTATACACCCCGCCAAAGTTCTTGAGCATCGACCATAGATAAGGAAGCCTGCACAGTAAACGTCTACTGTGCACATTTATTTGTCTGTTGTTTTGCTGAAGAAGTTTGCTGCTACCTATGTCAACATCATCATCATGATCAGCCTATTAATGTCCCCACTGCTGGGGCACAGGCCTTACCCTATGAATGGAATAAGGAGATTGGGCCATGAGCCACCACGCGGGCCCGGTGCGGATTGACGGTTGCTTACGACTGCAGATGAAGCCGGGACCAACGCCTTAACGTGCCTTCCGAACCACGAAGGAACTCGAAATAGAAGATTTTTGGTCACCCATCCACTGACCTGACTGTGAAAGTTGCTAATCTGTTTCCAATTCCTGTGTCAATCTTCAACAATCGCAGCCGAACGCGCTAAGCACCCGTGCCAAGTCCCATCTTAAAATTTCATTGCCCTACCTTAAAACGGGTCGGCGGGCTGGGAATGGCGGCGCACGTATCTGTAATTATCACTGCACTCTCTTAAAATCATCTCGTTCTACGGCCCTGGTCCCCACTGCTGGGAACCACACGCCTCTATGAACTGAATGGTGGGTGAAATTTAAATCTTAGATCAAGAATACTGTTATGGATAAGAGATATTATAAAATTGATGATTATCTAAATGATCGTAATGCATGGACATAGTGTTTCTTGTAATTTGTAAATTGATGGGTAGATATTAGTCATTTTTCATAAAAGTTTTAAAAGGTTCTAAGGCCGCTTCCTTTAAACTAAATATACAGTTAACTATATAATTTATTGTAAATATATATATATATATTCTAAATAATGTCATAGGAGGTGACTTTAGAAATAGCTCTGAAGTCATTTAAGAACTTGACGACTCTGTTTAAAATAATACAGGAAGAAAAAAAAACAGTCCTTGCGCAGTTTCTTGCCGGTTCTTCTCAGAACAAGATCTCCAGCCATAGTTTTGCGAACCGAAGGCGTAGCTTCTTGACCTTCACAAGTGCTTGTAACAGCCTAGACTAATTAAAAGATTTTTTAGTTTTGTACCTCCGGAGCAGTGGTCCTTTTAGTCAGGGCCGGACCGTGAGTTTAGGAGGTCCTGGCCTAATAGTCTTTACGTACGTACTTACCTAATTACTCAAAGTATAGAAAAAATGAGACGGTAAACTATTTTATTTAAATTATAATATATTATGCCTTAGTGTTATACAATCGTTAATAAATGGACAAATTACAAAGAAACCTTTCTACAAAGTGCGGAAATGGCAAATTCTTTAATTTGCTCCTCCCATTATAGGGGTAATATCAATGGAGTTATATTCAACAATGTATTTTTAGGGCCCCTTGAATCCACGGCGCCCTAGGCTGAAGGCCAAAAAGTCATATGGTAGATCCGGCCCTGCTTTTAGTGACGAGGGACAATTTGTCTTGCCACAGACCACCACTTACGATTTCTAAGTGAATCAGCGTTCTTACATATTAATGTAATATTTTTAGAATGGTTTCGCGGACCACTTCAGGTACTTTTCAAGAATCACTGCTCAGAGAGATGGCTTAACATAGCTTCTAAAGCAAGGAGAAGCTCGAAATAAAAATAGTCCATCCCCAAGTTCATAATAGACAATGTAACCTCGTTAATCGATGTATGTTATCTAATATAATTTGTTCCACCAGGTTCATCTGTGAGTTGCCAGAGGATCGCGGCAAAGTGAGCAACGAGATCGACCGCGCCGCGCGAGCCTTACGCGACCTACACTCCACCGCGAGACAAGCCAGAACACTGCTGGAGCGACGATAGATATCTTCTCTTATACTATACTAGCAAACCAGTGAACCAAATGTTCACCAAAACCCGATTTAAAAAAAAAAGTGTATTTAATTAATTGAGAACTTCGGAGATTTTGTGTGGTTTTGTTTGAAATTCGTGATTTCTCGAAAACCGGAAGTGCTACGTTACTCAAATCCGGTTTGTAGTCTTATCAGACTATTCTTAACTTATAACTTAAATATTCTCTTTATCTATCTCTTACGGTTTGGCCGCTGAAACAGCACCACGGACAGACGGACTCGTCTAATAGATAAGAGATAAATCCACATACAGAACGGACGGACTATTCCTTAGCCAGCTACATGGCCGAATTTATTAAAATTTTAGCGTATCACCAAACCAGCCAGGCTAGCTGTCAGATCTATTCAAACGTAAAATAAATACTGATTGCTCACTGAGACTGTATACAAGGCACCCGCGGTTAAGAGCCCTTTCAATTTTTTTGCAAAATATCGTAATTTTTGAGCGCCTCGTTGACCCCCTTAGAAAATACTTTGACTAATTCCAATAGAAGTAAACAGTAGATTTATTCTTCCTATTGTAAGTTAATATAGAATATTTGCAAATACTATTTTTCTATTTTTTTGTACTGATCGTTCTACTGCAGCTAGTTTACGGAAAAAAAGATAATATGCACAACTTCAAACGCCTCGATCTCTCAATAATGTTCAATAAATTAGATCAAATTAATTACTAATACATCAAAAATATGTCATTGTTGTAACATAATGTATTAGAATTTTGATTTTCCATCTCATTAATTATCAAAAAAAAAAATAACCTCCGCGAGTTTTCCCAAAAAAATAATGGCGGTTTACCTCGTATTTCGATATTGAATTAAATAGAATTTCTATCAAAAACTTTCATAAAACTAATCTACCATCATTTAAATACTGAAATATGTATATATTTTTATAGTTAATTCATTAATAATCTTTATATATATAATTCTTCTGTGAGTGTGTATGTCACTGAACTTCTCTTAAACGACTGGACCGATTTTGATGAAATTTTTTGTGTGTGTTCAAGGGGATCTGAGAATGGTTTAGATTCAAAATTTTGTCCGCTGGACAACCCCTATTTTTTTTAGGGCGGTACGAAGTTCGCTGGGTCAGCTAGTTATTTTATAAGACTCGGAACATCACCCGTAAAATGCAATATATACTAGTGCAAATCGACCTACTCGCCGATCAGTACGGCAGCGGCGCAATTTTGTAAAAGGGCTCTTAAGTTGTAAAATCAACGACATTAAATACCCTAGATACACCAACACGAACAAAATCGTGCCCGAAACCTGTCCAAAAGGTACATTGCTGCACATCCACGGAGCTCCATAAGATTATCGTGCAGTCAAAAAACAATATAAGGCATTATTTAAACATCGAAAGTCACCCTTAATGCATAATGTATAAGGTCTTAATTAAAACGCATGTAAAATGGAAGCTTGTAAAAGAACAATGCCAGATTCTGGCTTACAAAACTTTTAATTATAAAATGGCACGGACACACGTCTTTAGCCGCGTATCCACTAGAGGCAGCCTCGCGTCGAGCGGCCTCGACTTGAAGCAAATAGCCTCAGTTTGAGGCTGCTCGCTCTGAGGCAACGGCTACGGATCAGCTCGAGGCGTGTCGCCTCACCTTGATCCGCTGGCGGCGCACTGCGCAGTTAAAAGCCAAAACGCGATGGCACCAGACGCGCGTCGAGTAGCTGCTGCTTTAATAGCAATTATCATTATTAAGAAAAAGAGGAGGCAACAAAAAGCTATACAAAAGAGAGAGACCGCGTCTCATTCTCCATTGCGATGCAGGCGACGGGCGCAACCGTCTCCATTAAACACACGGCTCGGACTGAGGCGCCTTTGAGCACGGCACAGGAACCGACAAAATATGGCTCGGCTCGCGGCGACGAATTTGCCTCGCGTCGCGGCGTGCCTCAGGTTGAGGCAGCGTCTCCACTGGCGCAGCCTCGGAGTGAGGCAGCCGCTCGACCCGAGGCTGCCTCTAGTGGATACGCGGCTTTTTACATACAACAAATAACATAAACAACTCGAAATTTTAAAATTACATTAATGTTTTTTCGAGAACTTTCCCAATAGAATTAATTTATTAATAAACAAGTAGCTGATCGGAAATCTAACAAAAATAAATGGAGTTGCCATTTTGTTTCTCTCTGATTTATTGAAATAAAAAGAGAGCGAATCTGGGAACCCAGATATGGCGACACCATAAAAATCCGCGTGGAAGCCACTCCGTCACGGTGATCGTGAAATGAAATAACCTTAAAATTCCATATTTGTATTATCTAAGTACTAGCAAACCAGTGAACCAAATGTTCACCAAAACCTGATTTAAAAAAAATGTATTTAATTAATTGAGAACTTCGGAGATTTTGTGTGGTTTTGTTTGAAATTCGTGATTTCTCGAAAACCGGAAGTGCTACGTTACTCAAATCCGGTTTGTAGTCTTATCAGACTATTCTTAACTTATAACTTAAATATTCTCTTTATCTATCTCTTACGGTTTGGCAGCGGAAACAGCACCACAGACGGACGGACGGACTTGTCTAATAGATAAGAGAATTTCTTGTTAGAAGTTCTTTAGAATTTTTACTGTTCTGGAAATTTTTTAGTTATTAAACTACACACAATATAACTTTTTTCATTGTTGTTTGTGAAAATTTTATATTAAGCCCAAGTTACTATCGAGACTTGGCATTGTTCTTTTACAACTTATTGCTATATGCGGAAGAATATATACCTTATTTGTTTGACTCTACGCGCTATCGTGTATGAATCCGCCGCTAGAGGCGCTAGTGTAGCGTGAGGTCTCCGAAATGTCAAATGTTATTGCTTGTTGGTTGACTACGCGGGTTTATTTGTAATTAAAATAATGATGTGAATATTTGGTAACAATTCGGCTTAATTATGGCAAATATGAGTTATGTGGCAATGAATGTCAGTTATTAAAAATTTGAGCTTAGAAAAATTCCCATTTTTTCCGAATAAAACGGAACTGGGCGTCACTGTGGCATGGCCTATTATGTTTGGGATATGGTTCTTTTGTGTTAAAATACGATCTAAATGTAACCTTTGATTTCATGTGCGTATTAATAAACTTTAAAAGTTACAATTTAGGACCTCACTCAACAGTGGCGCCATCTGGTGAGGCAGAAAACGGTAGCCCTCATTGTGAATGCGCTGTTAGCAATAGAGCAGGCACGGACCGCGAGGAAAAGAGACGGCTATATTACCGACCATGCATTAGAATATCACAAATATTTTCTATTAAATCAGTTTATAGTAAGGTGTTTAATATCGTTGGTATATAGTCAAGCTTTAAAGTCGATATAGAGTTATTCTTATATAGCGATAATTAAATTATCAATTACTTTAACGTTTAATCCCTTTGCACTAAGTGTCAATGCAATATGTATATTATTACTAAGTGAATGATTTCAATTTATTAGTATTTAATTTTTTACAGGTTTCGCTGTATATTGTAGGGATCGTATCCCAAATGAGACTGTAACTAATTTAAGATTAGGAATAATGGTAATAAATAAAAATGAAAACAACCCAATCTGTTGTAATAACTTATTATTCTAAAAATATTTACAAGTTAATAAGGATCACAACAAAGTACCTTATTTAAAATAAATATATTTATTTATACATTACGAATGCTATTCGTATGACTACATTCGCTAGACCGCACCCTGGTACAGTGGAAGGCAAAGGAAATCGCACCATATCTTGTAAAGTATAACGATCTGAAGTAATTTTCACAAATAAGGGTGAGGCCAAACGAGCGCAATTTTGTGAGTGGTGAGTCGCAGAATTTCGGTCGCAGAAATTCTGCTGCATTCGGTTTCATACAAAAAGGCAGTTGGTGCCACACGACAACGCAAAATGAGTTGTCTGCCGACTCAATGCGCATAAGCTCGTCCGAATTTCGGTCGGGGTGAGGGTAGGGCAAGGAAGGGGAGTGGGGAAGCAACAGTTTGTTACAAGTTGCGTGGTGTAATAATTCTTGAAAAACACGTAATGGCATATGATAGTACTTTTCAAACATATCTGAATTTGAACATAAACGTTCATATAAAGTATCGAACTGTCCACATATCAGCCTCTGACTATTCAGTGGGTTTACCCAGTTTCTTTTTCTGGCCTCATCTTCTGAATATACTTCGTAAATACACAATATTTTTAATGGATCCATTGCACTCGACGACGCGAACACCCCGTACTAACGCTCAATAGTAACTGAATAAATTACGTTCGTATGGCAGCTCAACAGAAATTCAGTTGAACGTAAAATAAGTGACCGAAAATAAGCGACCCACAACTCACAAAATTACGCTCGTTTGGCTTGACCCTAACTCAAATAAGACTAAAAAAAAATCTTCATTTGACTATACCAGAGAGCGCGTAGTAATTAAGTTATATACACTATTTTAGTCTATGGATAACTTTGGCCGACTCAATGGCCAAGGGAACACTTCTATTTAGTAGAAAGATCAGCTAGAAACTCTGCTCAAACTTAACAAGTGCTTCAAAGTGAAAATGGCAAACGGTTCATTAGTATACTTTGTGATTTCATTACCCTATTTTTATAAAATAATTGCGGTGGAAAGATTTTCTCATGGGAAAAACCTGGAAGATTATTTTAAGATTCTCTAAAAAAATTCTATCGTGAACGGTGACGCAAATAAACTTGACTATATTCAATGTATAATGCGATTCAAATAAGAATAGGAAAGCCAATGACCTCCATCTGTCAAATGTCGCTTGAAAAGTACGGTTTGCAAAAAAATCTCGGAACACTCAGCTGATTTTTGAATAAAAACCAATCATTTTTAAACAAACAATAACAAATGTTGATAATTAATATTAGTTGTTTTGTTTTCATTTATTGAAATGAATGGTTGATAGCCTAAATCGTCAACCAAATGTCACTTTATGGTGCGTTCAAAAACTCGATTTAAAACTTTCGTTTACATATAAGATGCATGTTCGAATGTGACCTGCATGATTATTCATAACTTCTCCGGCGGTAATGCAGAGATGAGCGAAATTGAAGAGTTAAATTCTGATTAATGTATTTTTCACACAGTCTTAATAAAGAAATACTATTAAAAATCAGTTGCGTTCTTTCTCAACCTTAGTAAATTAATTTTATTAAAAATCTGATGTTTTGTCTCACCCAATCTTAATAAATAAGTTTTATTAAATAGCAACATTTTTTTGCTCACTCTACCTACTTGGTTCGAATTGACAACTATGACGTCGAAATATGGCGCCCAGTCGGTCCTATTCTTAGTTGAATCGTATTATACAATGTTAGCAAAAACTAATGCCAAAATTTCTCAAACAATTTCGAACTTTAAAGCGTTCAGAATTAATTGCCAACGCATTAAATATGCTCTTTATCTATTTTGCCATTTTGCAAGTGGATCTCAAGCTTTCTCACACCCTTTCAATGATATTTCTATCCGAATATTATTCACACAGATATTAATAAATGTATTAGTGAAAACAATTCAAAAAATAAAAGCATAGCCGATATAAATGGAATCCGTCTCTTTATCAAACACGGCATTCCAAATAACTTATTAATTTATTTAGAATAGTTACACAATTTGTACTTTATGTAAACTAAGCATTAGTTTAGTTACTCGCATGTTAACAATATTATTATATAGAAAAAAAAATACAATTCAAAATATGATTTTGTCGTCAACATGCAATGAGCTTACAAATTAAGAAGAACATTTAGAGATCAACTCTTTAAGTCTTGATGTAGCAAATTATAACTTAATGTTAATAAAATAACAAACTGAAAATGCCCATGCGCAGAGTTCTTTAAAGTGGCAACATTTGAATCATATTAACAGATTTAAAAATAGTAAAGTATAAGATATTTTATTGAAGAAAAAAGTTAAAACATATCAAAATCGATAATTCATTTATTGCCTAATGAAGATTTATCTATTTCGAAGTGCTTCAGGCACCGCTTCAATGATTTCATTCATTTCATTAGTAAATCGCTTCACCGAAAATACTACAAACACAGAATTCACGATTATTTGTGCAGACGCAATAGAATTATCAATAAGTATCACAATCGTCGTACAATAGTCGTAAATATCGACTTAGATCAATTTTATTAACACTTTAATATACAATTTCATCATTTTCTTTTTACAAACAGTATATTTGTATTAAAGTTAATACAGACGACTTATGGATAAGATTGCACTGTCAATAACATTGAAGTTATCTATAAATGTTTAATTTCATCTAAGTAATTTTGAGCTTTATTTCATTTGACATAAGATAGACAGTTAATACATAAAATTGTATGGTTGATTTAACTAGAAAATCACAAGTTTTCTTAAAAGAAGATAGCGGTGTCTGGAGTTATTGTTTTACAACAAGTATAATTTAATATACACGCCAGTAAATTTTAAGTCAGATTAAATATATATCTTTATTGCTATTACGAAGCAATATAATAAGGCTGGCCTTATTGTTAGACCACTCGTTATTCTGACAATACAATTTAAAAGACATCTGTAAGTGTGGCATTTAATCAGTTATTAGCATTAATCTTATTCATTAAAATTCACTATTACCAATAATAAAATTTTGTGAAATTAAAGTACATAATATGTAAGAAACTATGACTGCCGAGGTTTTTGTAGTTATAACAAAACTCACTTTTCAGTGCGGAATAGGCTAGTTGACTCATGTCAAATTGCACTATACAAATGTTTATTTCTTATTATGTTTGGTATGAGGAACCTAAATACATCGATTTCACTTCATAAAATTATAAGACGGCTGTAATTTAATTTGAAAAAATAGTTTTTTAGTCTATGCTTTTTAAACACTAAAAACGCTGTCCACCATGATTGTAACGTCAACATAATAGCAAACGACTAAACGTCACTGTCATGTTACTGTGGTTTCTTTCGTCCGACTAAAATATATCTAAAAACTCTTATATCTTGAAGAAAAGTTTCCGTTTATTGATTTTCTTGGCTAAATTAATGCTGGACGCCGGATTTGCAGAAACTCTTTGACTTAGCACGTACATTCGTAACCTTAATGAAACCACAACATTTCTGGAGTTTTAAACGACGTGTTTCTTTATTCTCGTATAATACAATCATGATAATTACTATATTTATCATGAAATCTATTAGAAATCATGGTTTTGTAATGTAAATTCAGATAGGTTATATCCTACGTGCTTGCGAATGTTTGTTTACTATTTTGTTCCCGTCATAGCATAGATAATATATAGACTAAAATGGCCGACAGCGTTTTTGTATGTCCATGAAAAATCTATTTTTAAATTAAAGTTTTGTAGCTTTCTAGGTAAAAAAAATATACAGTACATTTTTTTCGGTGTAATTGAACAATTATTAACCATTTAAAACATATTTCCAAAAAGTGTCAACTAGCCTATTCGATGGTGTGATTTGAAATTTACATTTAAATTAAAATTTTTAATATTTCGCAGCGGAATCCGAGGTGAAAGGTAAGTTTGTTCTCACAGAATAGCACTGATAAAAGGGTGGACATTTTGACTATTTATTTCAAAGAGGCAAAAATCACTTAAACGCCACTTTGGTCGAAAATCACACTAATTAATTATAAAGGCGAAAGTTTGCGAGTGTGTATGTTTGTAGTAACAAAGAAGTTTGTCTTCACGTCTAAACGGCTGGAGCGATTTTAATAAAATTTGGTATGGAGTTAGCTACGTTTTACTGCGGGAGAATATCCCTAATAAAGCGCGGATGAAAGCGCGGATGACATCGCGGGGCACAGCTAGTGAGTTATATATGTCGTTTTAACCACTTTTTTTCTGCGACGATCTGTTTGTTTCGTGAAGATTTGTGTACATTTTTGGCGCTTAAGCGACTAAAATTTTTGAGATATTTATTGTTGACAACGCTGAAGCGACATAAATGCTGATGTTTTTTGAACCAATGGCACTTACGCCCTATTTCGCGTTCGATTTGATGTTTGCTTGACTAAAAATGTATGGCGGGCCGAGTGATTTCCGCTTAAGCGACATCTAATTCGTAAAGTAAAGGCACTATGTAACTTTTTAATAGTAGGATAATTGGACGTTATTAAATGAAGAGGATCCAACTCACAACCTTATCGAAAACAGGCATGATGACTATTTTCTTTTCTTCGTTTATCAGGTAGATTATCAAAAAGTATTGGACACGTATTTTTTTTTAATTCACATAATATAAACATTGCAGAGATATATTGATTTGAAAATACGCATGACGTCGCGTTTTACAATTAAACAAGTACAATTTCACTCAATAGTGACGTCACGAGCCCCTACTCCCAAACTGTGACGCGCTATAACTTTGTCATTTTTTGGTTGATTGCCCAAAGAAAAAATACGTGTCCATTATTTTTTGATCATCTAACTGACGGACTAAATAGAATTTCGTTTACTGTACCCCGTCATCACCCCTATTAGTTTAGTACTAGCAAACCAGTGAACCAAATGTTCACCAAAACCTGATTTAAAAAAAAAAGTATTTAATTAATTGAGAACTTCGGAGATTTTGTGTGGTTTCGTTTGAAATTCGTGATTTCTCGAAAACCGGAAGTGCTACGTTACTCAAATCCGGTTTGTAGTCTTATCAGACTATTCTTAACTTATAACTTAAACATTCTCTTTATCTATCTCTTACGGTTTGGCCGCTGAAACAGCACCACAGACAGACAGACGGACGGACTTGTCTAATAGATAAGAGATAGCAAAGTACACCTTAAGGTCAATACTATTAAGACACGAAAAAGATCCAAGTAAAATTCATGTGTCATAAATGACTTTGTATTCGTATTTTGTAAAAAGATAAAGTTGAGAATCTAAGAAGGAATACAGTCTGAAATAAAAAAAAAACATATCTCAAAACTGAGGCGCGTATTACAGAATGACAATTAAGTGTTGATCTTTACTTGAGTACGTTAGTATGGGATGCCGCTATGTGCTATATATAGCGACATCCCTTTCTAACTATGCTCAAGACTAGATCAATCACTGAGAATCTTTCTATAATACGTGCCTAACTTCGTGTGGGTTGGATCCTTTTCATTTAACAACGTCCAATAAGAAATTATTATTTTATGACTACGTTTTTATATTTATGGCGTTACTTCTCATTTAAAATGTGTAAATTGAATTTAGTTACAATTTTTATTTTTTTAAAGCATGTAACTGCTTGATGTTTAAATCTAAAGAAAATATAACTAGAAAAAACTCCACGCGGACCAGGCAGCAGACGGGACTCGAACCCGCACCTATTGCTATTTCTTCTTTCAAATGTTTAATACTTGTAATAGTATTAATTTGACATTGCGGGTTACCTATAATGCGAAGAGATGGCGCTGCCTTGCAGCTTAAGAATGGCTAGAGGAATTCCGACGCGGTCCGTGAGTGCCGCGGTAGCATAACCGGTCAGTGCATTCGCCCGGATCGAAGGGTGCGGGTTCGAGTCCCGTCGGCCGCCTGGTCCGCGTGGAATTTTTTCTAGTTATATTTTCTTAAAATTGAATATCTCGGACAAAGAATCAGTCTAGCCATTCAAAGGGGTAACGCTGCCAGTATCTTCGGATCCTTGCCTAAAGGGACTCTCTTTAATAAAATATTTTAGTTATTAATTTTATTTTTAAGGTTTTTAGTTTTAGTTTTATTGTTCTAGTATTTATATATATAGTAATTTAAAATTTTTGATCTTCGTTTCTGTAAAATAACCAAAGTGGCGTTTAATCGATTTCACCTTTTACACTGTGGTTATGTTCTAATTGAAGTGGAACTTGAACTGGAAGGGGCTGCCGTGCTGGAAGTGGTGGAAGGGCTGGTGGAATGGATTCCCCCCTCGCTGGCTCTCCGGCTCCAAGGGGTCGACGCCTGCGTCGAACTGCGCTCGCTTCTCGGGGTCCGTCAATACCTAGACGCGAAGGTGATGTCAGTTAAACTGTCATGACTTTTGGAACGAAGTTCCTTATCGCGCGTTGTGAAACGGGGCTAGACGGAAAAAAATGAGTGCGTGTACTTATGTAGGCGCGTGAGAAGTTATCCTTCTTTGGCATCGTTTAAAATTAGTTTTTAATTGCATGCAAATAATTAATTACAATAAATTAATAAAAAGTCTGGAAAAGGACACAGTCAATAAAGTTCAGTTTTAATTTGAAAAAATAAATAAATAATCAAAATATTCAATTAAAATCGCTACTGAATATAATTTATTACAACATATGTGATTTGCACTTGTGTGAAACTCAAACACGTATACCGAATATACAAACTAGAAACATGTGGATAAATATTATAAATATGAATACCTATAACTGTTACTTTATTACAAAAAATAAAGATGTGGTTTTTGGTTCTACTACACCAATGGTCAAGAGATGGCGCTGTAGTCTCCTGAATCGCGCTTTGGTTCCGTTGTTTCAGATTAATAAATACTTTTGATAGGCCTTCACACTGCAGTCGTTAGCACCCACTAAATAGAGATTCTATTTTGTTGGTAGATTTTCTGAATGTGCGGTAAAATTAAAATTTTGTGTTACAGTGATGCGCGCGCATCTTAAAATTTCACTCTCATCATTTTTTCATAACGCGCCTAAAGAAGTATAACTTCAAAAATTCTTACGAAAAGTTGTCACGACACTTTTTGCTATAGTAAGCTATTGTAAGCTGTGCGGCGTCGCATGTTTCTCTGTCTCTCTCTCTCTCTCTTATAGAAAGCAAGCCAGATATTTTCATTTCCGTCGTAGTGTAGTGTAGTGTAGTTTTTATAGAACCATGGACTTAGGATTTCGTTACGATGGCCCATTGGTACAAGAAGCGATGGCTTAAATAGAATTTTAAAATATAACATTATATTTGTTAATAATAAAAAAAATATATTTATAACTTAAAAAAAAATGAATTTTATTACATTTCCTTCACTAATTAATCGAAAGTAACTTCGTTCCATCCGGGTGTCCCTTGACACCTCTCAACTTTTTTTCTCTAAATGGCTTCTAATATCTGGCTAAATGCACAAGCCGTGCATTTACATATACGATAGGCGATAACAGAGTCATGTTGTTTAGTTAAATATTTGCAAGGACAAATCTCAGTTTGTCCTTGGTGGGCGATTATGTATACGCCATTTGTGCATGTAAAAATTGTAGTTCATATGTATCAAAATAGATGGCGCTGTAGTTCTTTGCATCACGCTTGCAAATATGTTTGGAGCTACATATAGGCGAAACGTCACCTAACTAATAAAGAAATCTATGGTCTAACAAAGTACACTGTAGTTTCATTTTAATTATTTTGGACCTAAGCTCTCGGATTTACGAGTCATTTTGGCTTGAATATCAAGTGTTAAATTGTTTACAAATTCTATAGCATTCGTGGTCAAAGTAATAAATCAAGTCAAAGTAAGCGGCAGTCAAGTCAATCCCCCTTTCCCCATGTTTCAGTAAAAGTGTGGGGTTTTACTGGAACCTCCGACTTCTTGAGGGAACGTCGAAAGACACTTTCCGCTATTTTGTTTCACTTGCCAACACTTGTGCATGTTCCTGAACACTTAGTGGTTAATAATCCACCATTATTAGACACTAACATCCGCCACTACACAATTTTTAACAAGAAAATCAAAACTACTAAAGTGACGTTTCCAGATCCCGCCAAAGTCCTATACTGTCATAACTTGATCCTACTGCATCATCTTTTTTTTTTTTTTTTTTTGGTGAAGTTCTCCCGTTTTCGGGAAGGCAAAGGGAACAATGCCCATACAGCCTGGTCTTTAATTAAATTAATCTTCTTTTTGTTTTTACATTAGAATGTCGGTGTGACGCATTCTAATGTTTCTTGGAGTGTTTGGCACGAAATGTATCGAGTTAGCTTTTTCGATAAGCTTCTGTGAGGTAGTCAACACTACAATAAAATTCTCACGTCCACTTGACCGGAATAGCGTATATTTTAATGATTCCACTAATTCTTCAGTTACGCAGACAGTTGTTACACAAAACCACACCAATTTTATTTCACAATATCCACTATGAACGAATTTAAGAATAATTAAAATAAGATGCCAACCGTACTCGATGAAATCCCGCCAAAAACCTCTTTTTTTTTGTTAATTTGTCCCTGTTGGGACGGGCAAAGGATTCTGAGTCCATACAGCCCTGAATCATCATCTTTTTTTTAAATAATATGTTTAACGGCTCTGGATTCTAGTCCTTTTTAAGCCAAACGTTGAACATGTCAAAAATAAAGTAAGCACATCTGTCAAATTTTACAGAATGCCATTGAGTTTATCACATCACTTCTTATTCAGAAGTTTACATCATTTTCCCTGGTTTCTTTTCCACAGTAACCTCTTTCTCCTTCTTGTTATAATTTGTTTACAGTATTTACAATGAATTTAAATAGTGGCTAGAAATACTTGAGATCATTAAGTAACTCTTCATCATTATCATCAGCCTATTAATGTCCCCACTGCTGGGGCACAGGCCTTCCCTATGGATGGAATAGGGAGATTGGGCCATGGCCCACCACGCGGGCCCAGTGCGGATTGGCGGGTGCTAACGACTGCAGATACAGCCGGGATCGACGGCTTAACGTGCCTTTGAAACACGGAGGAGTGAGAGATAGTAAATTTTTGGTCACCCATCCAATGACCGACCACTGCGAAAGTTGCTTAACTTCAACGATCGCAGCCGAGCGCGCTAACCACTTGCGTCATCGAGCTCCTCAGCTTGATCAAAAAGGATAAATCAATCCTCCTACTTAATTCCGTTTTTTTACTGAAATACTCAATAGAATGATGTATATCCACTTCTAATGGACTACGTAAACATAAGTAAATAACGTGAAATCGGTACCGGTAGCACGAACCAATATCGAATTCGTATCGTTTGCGAGTCCGATATGTCATTGTCAATAATGTGTACTGATTTTTAGTTCTCGTTACGCACTTTGTGCCGCTGCTGTTCAAGTTTCCATACAAAATTTGACATTGACATTTCGGTTTGCAAACTATTCGAATTCGATAATGGTTCGTGCTAGGGATACGGTTTCTTATACTTCTCAAATACCCTATTGTTATATTTTATTTATTAAGCATTTAACTGCTAGCTAGATGTTTAAATCTAAAGAATTTTAGTTTTTCACTAGATAAGAACGCTGCTTTGCAGCCTTAAAAAATGCTTGAGAAAATTCCACTAGGGCCGCGGTAGCGTAATAGTCAGTGCATCCCCCCGGATAGCGGAGGAAGCGGGTTCGAGTCTCGTCTGCTGCCCGGTATGCGTGGAATTTTTTCTAGTTAAATAAAAATAAGAACATCCTTTTTAAAGTCTGATAAAAGAAGCGTCAAATTGGAGTCTCGTCTGCTGCGCGGTCCGCGTGGAATTTTATCAAGTAAAAAAAAGATCTTCCTTCATTTTAAGTCTGCTAAAAGAGGTGTCAAAGTGTGTAATTATTTACCTCCTTGGCGGCGGCGATGTCGATGAACTTCTTCTCGGCCAATTTCTTCTCGTCTCCCTGGAAGTTGTCGGGGTGCCACTTCTGAGCCGCCTTGCGATACGCCTTCACTATCTCCTGCTTGTTGGCAGATCTACAACAAAATAATAATCTATATATATACTAGCTGACCCAGCGAACTTCATACCGCCATAAAAAAATAGGGGTTGGTGGTAGAAAGTTGAAAATTTAGGGATGTATGTATTTTTGTATGATGTATCATAAAAAAAAATATCTAAAATTAAAAAAAAATGGGGGGAGGGGGGGGCACCCTTAACATTTAGGGGGATGAAAAATAGATGTTGTCCGATTCCCAGACCTACCCAATATGCACACAAAATTTCATGAGAATCGGGAAAGCCGTTTCGGAGGAGTTTAACCACAAACACCGCGACACGAGAATTTTATATAGGGTGAAATTGAATGTTTTAATAAAACTTCGTGAGATTGTTGGGTTACGAGTATAGAGTATGCCTGATTTTTTTCGGATTTTTTTGAAGTATTTTTGACGTGACAACGTCTTAAATTAGGTTGCGGCTGGGAGTCACTTATGAAAAAGTGTAACGCTCGGTAACGTTACGATGAGTCTCTCGTGTTAAGTTTAAGTTTACATGTACAATGTTTTAGTAAACAAAATATATTTCTATAGTTAAAATTTGTGCAATTCTTATTTTCATTCAATTCCTTGTTCCTATTGTGCAATTTAATTATATTCATATCAATAAATATTCTACCGAGAAAAAGACGTTGTCACGTAAAATCTTCGCCCGTAAAACCGACTTTACAGGCAACCATTTTTTTTTTTTCATGTATTTATTTATAATTTGTGTATTTTTTTGTCCTTTCCTCCTTTTGAGTAGTTATTCATATTAAACAAACATGCTTACATATCCAGTGAAAAACAACTAATAAATAAGCACTTCTAAAAAACGGAAAAACAGTAAAATTCCACCGCGGGTCAACGACCGACCGCGCCCGCCAGCCGTTGAGTGAGTACAGTCCATCAAATCTAAGAAATACCGTTTGACAGTTCTGACAAATTGAATAATAGGGATGGGTTTTAAAAAATCGATTACTATGATATCTGAATTTTAAGAGATCGATTACTATAATATCCGAATTTTAAGAGATCAATGACCATAATATCCGAAATTTAAGATATTATTTCCCTGTACTCTTTTCCTATATTTTTTTAATATGTTATTGTAAAAGGTTGTTTATTGGTAAATTTAGGTTTTACTAGTAATCTGAGGATAGAATACCGAAAAAATCTTAAGGTTCTAAAGGTCGAAGTCGAAGCATTTAAATAAAAGTAATGTTTAGGATATTTTTTATTCACTACAAGTACTGGAATTATTGTCGTCCTCGTCATCATCGTCATTTAAATTAATGACTAGTTGATTATCCATGAAACCATCGAATTTTACGTCTCTGTTGAAGTCGTCCATTATTATTTTCTTTGTTTTTTCTACTACTTTTGACCAATCTTCTTGTGTAACTTGCGCACATGCTTCCTTTAATAAGCCTTCCATTTTCTTGACACTGAAGGGTGGTTTTGTGTTGTGTCTTGCTGCATAACCTGTAAAACAATTATATAATTATTAGGTGGGAGACTTAGACTATTTTTTAAATTATAAAAGCTAGAGGCACTCGTGTTATGTGGCTACAAAATGTGTTAAGCTAATCTTGCTATATTTTGTTAGGTTATGTACAATTTAACACATCTGCGAAGAAGAAGGGTAATGTTTTATAGTATTACTGTACTTAACGGAAAATCTCAATTCACAATATATTTCAGCTTATTAAGAACAAGTTCTTGTTATTAATATAATCAACTACTAAAAAATATTATTATATTATAAAGTATTACCTTTAACTTGGGCCCAAATCAGTTCAATGGCATTATATTGGCAATGGTACAGAGGAAGTCGTATGACTTTGTGCCCGTGTTCTTCGGCTAATTGGTCAATAGCATAAGTCGGCCTTGGTGGTTTATCCAATTTCACTAAATGTAACAATTCAACTTTTAATAGTGACATGTCGGCTTCCACTCCTTTTCTTTGCAGCCACGCCACCAAATCTGCTTTCTTATTGGCTGATGTTGGTGCTTTATCAATTTGCACAGAGTGGTATGGGGCATTATCCATTATAATTGTGCTGTTAGGAGGGATATTCGTTAGTAAATTTAAGAACCACTCTTGGAACCTTTCCGCGTCCATTTCTTCATGATACTCTTTTGTGCTTTTAGATTGGAAAGCTAATAATGAATTTTCCACGAAACCTGCAGACGCTGATCCAGCATGGCATATAATGACCTTTCCCTATCGGCACTTTCGAGCACGAAGCTTCAGAATCATCTGTCCATGTTTTCGGCACAGAGTGGTTGGAATTTAGCCATGTTTCGTCCAAAAATATTACATTATCCCAGTTTATAATTTGTTTTACTTCGCGCTGGAATGTTAGTCGCTGCATAATTATGTCATGTCGCTCCATAACAATTTTTCGTTTGTCAACTTTTTTGTATCTGAAGCCAATTCCTGTTATTATCGTTCTCAACGACTCTATGCTTCCCTTGTACAGCCCGGCATCTTCTAAAGTTGCACATAACTTTGCCAATGTTGGAAATTCGCCTCTTGTAAAATAACCATAGATATGGTTTCTAATAGCATGGCTATCGAAGTCATCGATACCTGTCACAGGTTTAGTTCTTTTCCTTTTTTTCGGCGTGTGAAGTACGTTACTGTCACTCCCCGAAGGCCCATATTTTTCACTTAATATTTTGCCGACGGTGCTTCCCCCGAACTTGTGTAACTGGCAGTAGAGCTCCACCATTTTGACATTCACGCTCAAAATACTGGTGTAATTTCACCACCAATTCACGAGCCTGGCTGTTCAAAGTACGTCCTCTTTTGGACATTATTAATAAACACTTGCTTAGTTCAGAGTCCAGAAAAGTAATAGCCAAGTCACAAATTGTAAAACACCAAGTCAGCTTCCAAGATGGCAAGAGACTGCTGACGCGGGCGAGGGGGACCGCGTGCGCTTGTGGTCGACAGTGTTGTCTGATAAAAAAATCTTTTTTCTGGAGCTATTTCGCCTATATAGATTTATTGAAAATAATTAAATTAATTTATTTTAGGGTACCTATGTATTAAATGCATTATGCGATCGAGCAGTAACGTGAAATTATACAAAAATTAAATTGCGCTGTACCCCTAAACATTACGTCGAAAATTCGCTTTCTGGCCGTGGTCTGACATTGGCCATAAGCGCTTCTAGCGCTTACAACATCGTAATCTGAGTAGATTATGGACCGAGGCATCAAATTAGATCATTTTGTCATCTGTCATGTATTTTTACAAATGCGTTAATTGATAATTTGAAAGTAATAAATTCGATTTTCCGAATAATGTACACGATTTTTTCGTACACAATTGATTCCGAAGAGTTGCAACACTACGAGCAGTGACCTAACTATGTGACTTTGCAATGAGGTCAAGAATAGAACTATTAGAACTTATTTATTGTGTAAATATTGTTTATTTTGCTTTGTTTGAAAGTTTTCAATTAAATTTAGATATTAAGAATTGTACATTTTTAGATCCAATAATAAAACTTTTATAAATTCATGCTTTTACGAAAAAGGTTATCAAATTTGAACAAGTTACGCTTAAACAAAGTTATATCTGTTTGAAAAACATGAAACGTCAAACGGTACTTGTTAGATTTGATGGACTGTAGGTACGTACACAGAGCTCAGCTGACTCGTTTGATTCCACACAATACAATAAAATCGTCTCAGATGCCTTTATTGAAATTGAAATAATAAGCACAAATGTCATCTTCTCTTAAGCAGAGAAAAACTTAAAAAGTTAATAATAATTTTGTCACGATTGGAAATAGGCAAAAGTTAAACAAAAAGTAATACTTATTGCAGTTCAATACTTGGCTCAGAATGAAATTTATTACCAGGTATTCAAAAGTACTTACGAGACCGATGTACCTATTAATTTTTTTCTCTATAACTTCCCAATAAATCACCAAACCTACTTTCGTAAAGCCTTGTGGCTCTGCTGAGTATTCCGTGACACTCGCAATAACAACACACCATATCCAAATTCTTATATTGAGGGCACTGAACAAGAACTAATCAAGGCATTATTTGCAAATCTTGAATGAATGAATGAATGAATGATCACTTTATTGTACACCATGATTTTTTAAATTACAATTAATTAAAACTATTACATAATAGTACAAACGGCGGCCTTATCGCTTAGAAGCAATTTCTTCCAGGCAACCGTATGTTAACTGGACTGTTACATAAAGAGTGGGAAGTAGATGGTGTCATTCAAAGTGCAACTACCATTAATAACACTTATAAATAATTATGTACAACAAAAAATAAAATAAAATACAAATACATAAACATAATACATCTATTTATAAAGACACTAACACTTCAATCATATTTTGGATGATGTGACGACCTGCTAAAATGTCAAGTAATGTTCTTTTAACATTCTTTTAAAACAAGCTAATGTTTTAGCACCTCTGATTGCTTCTGGCAAGGCATTCCACAAACGAGCAGCCTGAACTACAAATGACTTGTCCATAAATTTGTGGAGTGCATTTGCATCTCGAGTGTTAAGTTTTCTGACGATCTCAAAACACGAGCATCTTGTCTTGTCACAAATTTAAAAGATACGCACGCGCGCTTGAGACTCCGCTCGCTCACTGCGCTGTGCACCGCGCATACCTAGATAGGTATGGTATAGGCAGGAAGGTATTCAACAAGGGAGCGGTCATTGCTGTCGGCCGCCCGTCTCCTGTTTTTACGTCTTTTTTATTAGTGCTTATTACTTGTTTTTTACTTACTCTGTATGCATGTTTTAAAAGAATAATTATCTAGTACCCAAAAGGAGGGAAGGACTTAAAATATAACAAAAAAAAAACAAAATTATATTTTAAATCATTTTTTAAAAAATCCGAAAAAATTCAGAGATACTCTATATACGTAACCCAACATTCCCACGAAGTTTCATTAAAACATTCAATTTCACCCTGTATATTAGATATATAAAGCTCAAAAGTGACTGACTGACTGACTGACTGACATGTGATCTATCAACGCACAGCGCAAACCACTGGACGGATCGGACTGAAATTTGGCATGCAGGTAGATGTTATGACGTAGGCATCCGCTAAGAAAGGATTTTGATCAATTCTACCCCCGAGGGGATAAAATAGGGAATGAAAGTTTGTATGAAACTTTGTCAATTTTAAACCGATCGGGCTGAGACTTTGCATGCAGGTATAAGAAGAATCATAGATGTATGTCATTGTGTATAATACAAGCCTGAGAACAAAAACTGTAGTCTACACTTCAGCTCTACACCGAAAAGAAGCGAGGGCGGGCCGCTAGTAATTAAAGTAGATATAATAATTTTTATTTTCTAATAATGTAACAACATGCCCAAGATCGATCTGAGTGGCGTACAATTGGAGAGGCCTATGTCCAGCAGTGGACTAGGAAAAGCCGGCGAAATGTTTAAAACTAAAAAAAATTACTAGAAAATATTTCACGCGGACCAGGCAGCGGACGGGACTCGAACCCGCACCCTTCGCTATCCGATCGAATGCACTGACCGCGGCTCTGATGGCCGTGTCGAATTCTTCCCAGCCTTTCTTAAGCTGGTTCGAGTGCGGGTTCGAGTCCCGTTTGCTGACTAGTCCGCGTGGAATTTTTTCTAGTAACTTTTTACTAGAAAAATATAAATGATGATTATTATTATTATTATTATTTACCTCTTAACACCTAATATCTTATAGTAGTCCCTCTGCTCGGATTGCTTCTGCAGCTTCTGTGCTCGACTCAAGCCGTCCTTGGCTCGCTGTAAACCTTCTTCCAACTCTAACGCTTCCTTGAACGACTGGATTGCTGTCAAACATATGAAACTATTAAACATTTATAGTATCCTATGAACACAACGTTGAAACAGAGAGAAATATGAATGTTGAAATTGTTTTCTAGAAATATTGTATAGATGTTGGTATTAAAAAATACTAAAAACATTTGCCACCAGCAAAAGTAAAGGTTGATGATTATATGCCCAAAGTGTGACCTATTTTGTATCTACAAATAGGGTATTTGAAAGTATTAAAAATAAAGTGACAATTGTTAGCATCTGTGTTTAGAATGAATATTGGCTGGGGTTTTTACTATTTATACAAAAAAAAATATTCATAATTTTACTAAAAACCCACGAAAAAGATTTAGTTTTCTTATCTTTTGTCACATGACCCGAAACGCTCGGGATTGGCGGAGCCTAAAATGACGTCACACGCAAGTAAACTTCCGGTTAAAGTGACATTAAATTGTATCGTTAGACGTTTTAATAACAGTCGTGTGACGTCACACACTAGTAAGACGCCATATTGTCCAGAGAACTGTTTTCGCGGCAACTTGAAAATGGAATTTTTGTTTTGGTTATTTTTACGGAAATACACAACAGAATGATGAATATCCACTTTTTACGGACTCCATAAACATAAGGTAATAACGTGAGATCGTTTTCTAAAACTTGTCAAATACCCTATTATTAAATTAAAACAGCAGATTCGAAATTAGTTCGAAAATTAGCAATAAAAGAAAATTAAAAACTACACAGATTGGAAACTTAAATGTTTCTTGATAACAGTTCAAAAGAATTAGAAGGCATTTTTATTCAGGTGTTATTTTATTTTATTATGACATCGAATGTTTAAATGTTGACATTTGATTGACGGTTTAGGTTATCAACCATTCTTAGCCAAAGCTCAATAAATGAAAAAATAAATTTCAACCAATATTATTAATCAATATTTGTTATTGTTTGTTTACAAATGCGTGGTTTTTATTCTAGAATTAGCGAGTTCATAAAAATGGGTTCCAAGATTTTTTTGCAAAGCGTACTTTTCAAGCCACGTTTGACAGTTGGAGGTCATTAACTTTCCCATACATAATGATAATTAAAATCATTTATTCAGTTTAGGCTGTTATAAGCACATATGAATATCTAGAAGCTACGCCATCGGTTCGTAAATCTACGGCGGGAGACCTTGTACTGAGAAGAACCGGCAAGAAACTCAGCAAGGGCTGTTTTTTTCACCCTGTTTTATCATTTACAGAGTCGTCAAGTTGAAAAATGACTTCAGAGATGATTCAACTTCCATTACATAATGTGAAATAATACGTTAATTGTTCACCTGCATTTTGATTGCTGTGTCACACAGTATAAATACAAACAGAGTTATTTATAAAACATTAACATCTTAAATATCAAAGTAGTTATTGCAGACTCATCTCCGCTGGCAGCACCCGTTCACGAGCATGACGCATGAACCAGCCATTGCTTCGCTCAACCATATTTTAGGGAACGACCCGCCTCACACGACACTATTTATACACGCCTATTGTTATCTGAATCTGAATTATTTTTTTAAATATGTTATACAAGATTGAAATCTTGTTATGTTGGAACGTTTTATAATTATGACTGTAGATCTACCCATTTAGTATTAAGTTTTAAATTTTGACATTTGCATTATATTTTGGACAATTGAATTAATTTTTACAATATGTTATACAGGATTAAAAATTTGTAATATTGGAACGTTTCATAATTGTGACTGTAGATTCTATCTATTTAGTTTAGGATTGTTGCAATACCTTAACTGGGTTCTTGTTTGGAATGATATATATATATATATATTTTTTTTTTTTTTGTAACAGCATGTAAACGACACGAATGTGACAAGGAATTACGCTTAATGGTTTCTTGATGATTATTAAAAATAATCACTTGATAAGATATTAGAAACAGCTACGTAATAAATACCTTATGGGACGCGATGTCTGCTGTCCGGACCCGTGGATGACTTGTTGTCAACTGCACCATTAACTTCTTAATAAAATCCACAGGCGTTTGCGAATACCTTAAGTAGACTCCACCATCGAGTTGTTAACCAAAAGGCTTTTATTTTATAGATGTGTATTAAAGCTTTATTAAATCATGAAAAACCTTTGACGGATTCCTTATCACTTTTAAGAAAGTTTGTATTGGATATATAATGTATTTCTAGTCTGGATAAGAAGATATTTTACAAAATAGAATACTAACTGTGATTGGTTGATAACATTGCCGCCCATCATAAGTCCATATGTTTTTGTTTTCTTTTAAATAAAGGAGCAATGTTTTGTTGTAATACTAATATGACAATTATCTTTGAACGTTTTAAAGAGATTTATGTTAGTATAAAATGAAATTATTAGACTATCATAGACTTTATTAATTATATTGTTAAAGATGGCGCCACTAATAACTTGTTTGAGGAGGGTGGGTCTAAAGTATAAATTCAGATGTCTGTTGATTTGATATTCATTACTTTATCAGCGAGTCTTCAGATATTAGTGTGCAGCCTAAACAGCCAGGGTCATGTGAGTTAAGTAATCATTTTCCTATTGTTGTTTATAACTTTTATTGGAATGATATTATTGTTTAACATTGTAAGTTATAATATAATAATATGCTTTGTCTGTCATTTACAATAGAAATAACTTCTTTGTTCTTATAAATGAAAATAAGAAGTTTAGTTATTTGTGAGTAAAGATTTTATACTTTGTTTTGATATTTTGGTTGAAATAATCTGTATGAAATAAAACAGGGAGAAAAGAACAGCCCTTGCTGAGTTTCTTGCCGGTTCTTCTCAGTACAAGGTCTCCCGCCGTAGTTTTGCGAACCGATGGCGTAGTTTTCGACTTTCACATGTAAAAGCTTAAACTGAATAAATGACTTTTTGAATTGAATTGAATAAATAGTGTTTTTTTAATATTTATAATTTCGAAGGTAGATATTTTTCTTATAAAGTAAAGAAATCGGAGTCTATTATACAGATATATTTCATTTCTATTTCTTTTTATTACTATATAGAAGTTGCAAAGTATTTGTAAAATAAATAGATAATGAAATCATAACAAATGCAATAAATGAATATGTATATATGACTATGAATCGCATTATATATGACTAGCAAACCAGTGAACCAAATGTTCACCAAAACCTGATTTAAAAAAAAAGTGTATTTAATTAATTGAGAACTTCGGAGATTTTGTGTGGTTTCGTTTGAAATTCGTGATTTCTCGAAAACCGGAAGTGCTACGTTACTCAAATCCGGTTTGTAGTCTTATCAGACTATTCTTAACTTATAACTTAAACATTCTCTTTATCTATCTGTTACGGTTTGGCCGCTGAAACAGCACCACAGACAGACGGACGGACGGACTTGTCTAATAGATAAGAGATAATACTGACCGTCATCGTACATATCCAGCCCCAGTAACGCATCTCCCCGGTCGCAGATATATATCATAATACTGACCGTCATCGTACATATCCAGCCCCAGTAACGCATCTCCCCGGTCGCAGATATATATCATAATACTGACCGTCATCGTACATATCCAGCCCCAGTAACGCATCTCCCCGGTCGCAGATATATATCATAATACTGACCGTCATCGTACATATCCAGCCCCAGTAACGCATCTCCCCGGTCGCAGATATATATCATAATACTGACCGTCATCGTACATATCCAGCCCCAGTAACGCATCTCCCCGGTCGCAGATATATATCATAATACTGACCGTCATCGTACATATCCAGCCCCAGTAACGCATCTCCCCGGTCGCAGATATATATCATAATACTGACCGTCATCGTACATATCCAGCCCCAGTAACGCATCTCCCCGGTCGCAGATATATATCATAATACTGACCGTCATCGTACATATCCAGCCCCAGTAACGCATCTCCCCGGTCGCAGATATATATCATAATACTGACCGTCATCGTACATATCCAGCCCCAGTAACGCATCTCCCCGGTCGCAGATATATATCATAATACTGACCGTCATCGTACATATCCAGCCCCAGTAACGCATCTCCCCGGTCGCAGATATATATCATAATACTGACCGTCATCGTACATATCCAGCCCCAGTAACGCATCTCCCCGGTCGCAGATATATATCATAATACTGACCGTCATCGTACATATCCAGCCCCAGTAACGCATCTCCCCGGTCGCAGATATATATCATAATACTGACCGTCATCGTACATATCCAGCCCCAGTAACGCATCTCCCCGGTCGCAGATATATATCATAATACTGACCGTCATCGTACATATCCAGCCCCAGTAACGCATCTCCCCGGTCGCAGATATATATCATAATACTGACCGTCATCGTACATATCCAGCCCCAGTAACGCATCTCCCCGGTCGCAGATATATATCATAATACTGACCGTCATCGTACATATCCAGCCCCAGTAACGCATCTCCCCGGTCGCAGATATATATCATAATACTGACCGTCATCGTACATATCCAGCCCCAGTAACGCATCTCCCCGGTCGCAGATATATATCATAATACTGACCGTCATCGTACATATCCAGCCCCAGTAACGCATCTCCCCGGTCGCAGATATATATCATAATACTGACCGTCATCGTACATATCCAGCCCCAGTAACGCATCTCCCCGGTCGCAGATATATATCATAATACTGACCGTCATCGTACATATCCAGCCCCAGTAACGCATCTCCCCGGTCGCAGATATATATCATAATACTGACCGTCATCGTACATATCCAGCCCCAGTAACGCATCTCCCCGGTCGCAGATATATATCATAATACTGACCGTCATCGTACATATCCAGCCCCAGTAACGCATCTCCCCGGTCGCAGATATATATCATAATACTGACCGTCATCGTACATATCCAGCCCCAGTAACGCATCTCCCCGGTCGCAGATATATATCATAATACTGACCGTCATCGTACATATCCAGCCCCAGTAACGCATCTCCCCGGTCGCAGATATATATCATAATACTGACCGTCATCGTACATATCCAGCCCCAGTAACGCATCTCCCCGGTCGCAGATATATATCATAATACTGACCGTCATCGTACATATCCAGCCCCAGTAACGCATCTCCCCGGTCGCAGATATATATCATAATACTGACCGTCATCGTACATATCCAGCCCCAGTAACGCATCTCCCCGGTCGCAGATATATATCATAATACTGACCGTCATCGTACATATCCAGCCCCAGTAACGCATCTCCCCGGTCGCAGATATATATCATAATACTGACCGTCATCGTACATATCCAGCCCCAGTAACGCATCTCCCCGGTCGCAGATATATATCATAATACTGACCGTCATCGTACATATCCAGCCCCAGTAACGCATCTCCCCGGTCGCAGATATATATCATAATACTGACCGTCATCGTACATATCCAGCCCCAGTAACGCATCTCCCCGGTCGCAGATATATATCATAATACTGACCGTCATCGTACATATCCAGCCCCAGTAACGCATCTCCCCGGTCGCAGATATATATCATAATACTGACCGTCATCGTACATATCCAGCCCCAGTAACGCATCTCCCCGGTCGCAGATATATATCATAATACTGACCGTCATCGTACATATCCAGCCCCAGTAACGCATCTCCCCGGTCGCAGATATATATCATAATACTGACCGTCATCGTACATATCCAGCCCCAGTAACGCATCTCCCCGGTCGCAGATATATATCATAATACTGACCGTCATCGTACATATCCAGCCCCAGTAACGCATCTCCCCGGTCGCAGATATATATCATAATACTGACCGTCATCGTACATATCCAGCCCCAGTAACGCATCTCCCCGGTCGCAGATATATATCATAATACTGACCGTCATCGTACATATCCAGCCCCAGTAACGCATCTCCCCGGTCGCAGATATATATCATAATACTGACCGTCATCGTACATATCCAGCCCCAGTAACGCATCTCCCCGGTCGCAGATATATATCATAATACTGACCGTCATCGTACATATCCAGCCCCAGTAACGCATCTCCCCGGTCGCAGATATATATCATAATACTGACCGTCATCGTACATATCCAGCCCCAGTAACGCATCTCCCCGGTCGCAGATATATATCATAATACTGACCGTCATCGTACATATCCAGCCCCAGTAACGCATCTCCCCGGTCGCAGATATATATCATAATACTGACCGTCATCGTACATATCCAGCCCCAGTAACGCATCTCCCCGGTCGCAGATATATATCATAATACTGACCGTCATCGTACATATCCAGCCCCAGTAACGCATCTCCCCGGTCGCAGATATATATCATAATACTGACCGTCATCGTACATATCCAGCCCCAGTAACGCATCTCCCCGGTCGCAGATATATATCATAATACTGACCGTCATCGTACATATCCAGCCCCAGTAACGCATCTCCCCGGTCGCAGATATATATCATAATACTGACCGTCATCGTACATATCCAGCCCCAGTAACGCATCTCCCCGGTCGCAGATATATATCATAATACTGACCGTCATCGTACATATCCAGCCCCAGTAACGCATCTCCCCGGTCGCAGATATATATCATAATACTGACCGTCATCGTACATATCCAGCCCCAGTAACGCATCTCCCCGGTCGCAGATATATATCATAATACTGACCGTCATCGTACATATCCAGCCCCAGTAACGCATCTCCCCGGTCGCAGATATATATCATAATACTGACCGTCATCGTACATATCCAGCCCCAGTAACGCATCTCCCCGGTCGCAGATATATATCATAATACTGACCGTCATCGTACATATCCAGCCCCAGTAACGCATCTCCCCGGTCGCAGATATATATCATAATACTGACCGTCATCGTACATATCCAGCCCCAGTAACGCATCTCCCCGGTCGCAGATATATATCATAATACTGACCGTCATCGTACATATCCAGCCCCAGTAACGCATCTCCCCGGTCGCAGATATATATCATAATACTGACCGTCATCGTACATATCCAGCCCCAGTAACGCATCTCCCCGGTCGCAGATATATATCATAATACTGACCGTCATCGTACATATCCAGCCCCAGTAACGCATCTCCCCGGTCGCAGATATATATCATAATACTGACCGTCATCGTACATATCCAGCCCCAGTAACGCATCTCCCCGGTCGCAGATATATATCATAATACTGACCGTCATCGTACATATCCAGCCCCAGTAACGCATCTCCCCGGTCGCAGATATATATCATAATACTGACCGTCATCGTACATATCCAGCCCCAGTAACGCATCTCCCCGGTCGCAGATATATATCATAATACTGACCGTCATCGTACATATCCAGCCCCAGTAACGCATCTCCCCGGTCGCAGATATATATCATAATACTGACCGTCATCGTACATATCCAGCCCCAGTAACGCATCTCCCCGGTCGCAGATATATATCATAATACTGACCGTCATCGTACATATCCAGCCCCAGTAACGCATCTCCCCGGTCGCAGATATATATCATAATACTGACCGTCATCGTACATATCCAGCCCCAGTAACGCATCTCCCCGGTCGCAGATATATATCATAATACTGACCGTCATCGTACATATCCAGCCCCAGTAACGCATCTCCCCGGTCGCAGATATATATCATAATACTGACCGTCATCGTACATATCCAGCCCCAGTAACGCATCTCCCCGGTCGCAGATATATATCATAATACTGACCGTCATCGTACATATCCAGCCCCAGTAACGCATCTCCCCGGTCGCAGATATATATCATAATACTGACCGTCATCGTACATATCCAGCCCCAGTAACGCATCTCCCCGGTCGCAGAGCACTCGCGCGTCTCTCTGCAACTGTAGGGCGGCGCCGCATTCCGCCAAAGCTTCCGTGAATTGTTCGTCCTAAACAATTAAAATTGATAATAATTTTAATTGTAAATAATAAATTAACTTGGTACTTAAAACAATATAATTGTGTGTGTGTAAAAGTATATAATGCAATACCTAATGAAATAAAATGTCTACCCAGTAAATTATTTAAATCAAAACTAATGAGGAAAATAATTTTTATACTGCAGAAGATTTTTTTAATGACAAATTTGACAATCCAATAATGTAAATTAGCTATTTATTTAGTATTGCATGGTTTATTTTGATGAAATGAATGAATATGATTGAAGTTTCTGTATAGATATAATTTAAATTAAAAAAATACTTAATGGAATTATTTGTAATATATATCATGGTATTTATAATTGTATAGTAAAGACCTTTAATTTAATTTAACTTTAATTTAGTCTTTTGTCCCACTAACCCGCACCGGGCCCGCGTGGTGGGTCATGGCCCAATCTCCCTATTCCATCAATAGGGAAGGCCTGTGCCCCAGCAGTGGGGACATTAATAGGCTGATGATGATGATGATTAGTCATTTGTATAAATTGCATGCCATTTATAGTAAAATTATGTAGAAATTGTTTTGTATACATGTCATCTTATTGTACCATATTTTTTGCAATAAATAAATCTAATCTAATACAGAAGAGATGCCATTGAAAAGGTATCAGGTGAAGTCGTTTCTTCACATCTTAGATTAAATTAAAGAGCACACATCACACACAATTTTGAACTTGATCAAGATTGTCGACTACCTTTGTTAGTGAGTCGATATCATGACTTGAAAGATTTTAAAGATATTTATATTTATAATTTTTATTATTTTAAAGCATGCAACTGCTTGATGTTTAAATCTAAAGAAAATGTAACTAGTAAAAATTCCACGCGGACCAGGCAGCAGACGGGATATATTCGCATTATAGGTAACCCACACCTATAATGCGAAGAGATGGCGCTGCCTTGCAGCTTAAGAATGGCTAGAAGAATTTCGACGCGGTAGCATAATTGGTCAGTGCATTCGCCCGGATTGCGAAGGGTGCGGGTTCGAGTCCCGTCTGCTGCCTGATCCACGTGGAATTTTTTCTAGTTACATTTTCTTTAGATATTTATATGACGGCTAACCTTCTTTAAAGATCTAGGTACTTAATTCTCAGCAAATATTATGAATTGAAACGGTGTTATAATTATAATTAATTGATTTATTAAAACTCAGGGTTATATTGATTATTCAAATGTAAAAATTTAAAAAAAATGGGTGCGCGTACTTATGTAGGCGCATGAGAAGTTATCCTTCTTTGGCATCGTTTAAAATTAGTTTTTAATTGCATGCAAATAATTAATTACCATAAATTAATAAAAAGTCTGGAAAAGGACACAGTCAATAAAGTTCAGTTTTAATTTGAAAAAATAAATAAATAATCAAAATATTCAATTAAAATCGCTACTGAATATAATTTATTAGAACATATGTGATTTGCACTTGTATGAAACTCAAACACGTATTCCGAATATACAAACTAGAAACATGTGGATAAATATTATAAATATGAATACCTATAACTGTTACTTTATTACAAAAAATAAAGATGTGGTTTTTGGTTCTACTACACCAATGGTCAAGAGATGGCGCTGTAGTCTCCTGAATCGCGCTTTGGTTCCGTTGTTCCAGATTAATAAATACTTTTGATAGGCCTTCACAATGCAGTCGTTAGCACCCACAAAATAGAGATTCTATTTTGTTGGTAGATTTTCTTAATGTGCGGTAAACACAAAAGTAACAGCATGAAGTTGGTCGCTAAAGCTTCCAACTTCATGCTGTTAATTTTTGTGTTACAGTGATGCGCGCGCATCTTAAAATTTCACTCTCATCATTTTTTCATAACGCGCCTAAAGAAGTATAACTTCAATAATTTGAGCATTATTGAAGAGTACGCATAAAGCCCATAAAAACATTATTATGGTAATCTCACCTTGGCAGAGCAGCTGCACAGCCACTTCCTGGCTTCGAACACCACTAAAGTAACTTCCTCTTCGACCTGCAACACCTTCTTAGCGGACGCTATGCAGCCGGTGAAATCTCGAGACTCGCTGGATGATTCGCAGTCCAGAAGAAGTTTATCCACTTTCTTCAACTTCTTGTATAGAGGGAAGCACTTCTTGTGCTCCGGATCCAGTTTGAGGCATTCGCGGATTTCCTAAGTTGAAAAAAAATATGATTTTATTGTTTTTGAAGCGTTTCACTGCTAGATGCTTCGATCTTATTGATGAACCCGAACCGTTCAAATCCCGTTTGCTGCCTGTTCCGCATGGAATTTTTCCTAGTAAAATTTTCTTTATATTAAAAAATATATATATTATTTTGATTTATTTAACGATCAAACTCCAAATTCGATCGATTCTGACGTGACAACGTCTTATAATTCGATGGAGCCGGCTGCACGCACGAAAAAACATGACTCATACCTCGCTCTGAGCCGTTCTATTTGAGGTTTGAAGTGCAAGCGAGAACGCGTAACGAGCGACAGAGGCACAATCCGAGTCGGTAGTACCCGCGGCCCGGATGTCCGGGTGTATCCGGGTAGCGCATGTCGCGTTACCTTGAGCGCGTCGCTCGCGTGCCCCAGCCGGTACAGCAGCGTGGCGAGCCGGTAGTACCCGCGGCCCGGATGTCCGGGTGTATCCGGGTAGCGCATGTCGCGTTACCTTGAGCGCGTCGCTCGCGTGCCCCAGCCGGTACAGCAGCGTGGCGAGCCGGTAGTACCCGCGGCCCGGATGTCCGGGTGTATCCGGGTAGCGCATGTCGCGTTACCTTGAGCGCGTCGCTCGCGTGCCCCAGCCGGTACAGCAGCGTGGCGAGCCGGTAGTACCCGCGGCCCGGATGTCCGGGTGTATCCGGGTAGCGCATGTCGCGTTACCTTGAGCGCGTCGCTCGCGTGCCCCAGCCGGTACAGCAGCGTGGCGAGCCGGTAGTACCCGCGGCCCGGATGTCCGGGTGTATCCGGGTAGCGCATGTCGCGTTACCTTGAGCGCGTCGCTCGCGTGCCCCAGCCGGTACAGCAGCGTGGCGAGCCGGTAGTACCCGCGGCCCGGATGTCCGGGTGTATCCGGGTAGCGCATGTCGCGTTACCTTGAGCGCGTCGCTCGCGTGCCCCAGCCGGTACAGCAGCGTGGCGAGCCGGTAGTACCCGCGGCCCGGATGTCCGGGTGTATCCGGGTAGCGCATGTCGCGTTACCTTGAGCGCGTCGCTCGCGTGCCCCAGCCGGTACAGCAGCGTGGCGAGCCGGTAGTACCCGCGGCCCGGATGTCCGGGTGTATCCGGGTAGCGCATGTCGCGTTACCTTGAGCGCGTCGCTCGCGTGCCCCAGCCGGTACAGCAGCGTGGCGAGCCGGTAGTACCCGCGGCCCGGATGTCCGGGTGTATCCGGGTAGCGCATGTCGCGTTACCTTGAGCGCGTCGCTCGCGTGCCCCAGCCGGTACAGCAGCGTGGCGAGCCGGTAGTACCCGCGGCCCGGATGTCCGGGTGTATCCGGGTAGCGCATGTCGCGTTACCTTGAGCGCGTCGCTCGCGTGCCCCAGCCGGTACAGCAGCGTGGCGAGCCGGTAGTACCCGCGGCCCGGATGTCCGGGTGTATCCGGGTAGCGCATGTCGCGTTACCTTGAGCGCGTCGCTCGCGTGCCCCAGCCGGTACAGCAGCGTGGCGAGCCGGTAGTACCCGTCGGTGGAGTCCTGCTGCAGACGGTTCACGGCCCGGATGTCCGACACGGCCGAGAATAGATCGTTCTGCACGAAACGAAACACCATTCAATACAAAGTAGCCACAGAGATGACGAGCTTTCGCTATCATCGGAAACAATATTCTGGAGCTCTATTTTTGAATCACTCGTCTGACATAGTATCGTCGAATGCGACATGAGTCACCTTCGACTTTCGAGTCGCACGATACTGATATTCTGTATTTTTGAATTCGTTCGTCACCGATGTTACCAGTTTAATACGAAATATAAAATTTTATTCATTTCACGCAGACTAAATAAAAACCGGTAATTACCGCATTGAAAACGTAACGAAAAATTCTTAGTACATGGCTGTATAATAAATACAATTGTATTTTGTTGTTTATATAACCGGCACTTCACGTAGCTGTTCGTGATTGCTGTTTGTAATATAAAATGTATATAATGACAATAAAAGATGAAGAAACTTGACGTCAATCTGCCCTTGTCGTTTCATTTAAAGCACGACAAGGATAGATTATCGTCGTCTAATAGCAAAATGAATAGCAAAGTAAAGTGCCGGTATTTGAAAAATTCAAACATCACAATACTCATTTCAAAACAGTTTCTAATAGTTTATTTTACTCAGTAGCTAAATCCAATCAGACAAGAAATCTTAATAAGTATAAGTTTGACACTAACGTGACGTCTGACACAACTTTGACAATTATTATATCATTCGCCTCCACCATTCGCCATGCAACGAGTGGTCTCACCCATTTATTGTACTCGAGCGATTCAAAAATACGGATTTAATTATGTCCAATGAAAATTAGTAGAAATATAGCGATCGACACAAGACGAGTGATTCAAAAATAGAGCTCCTGATCTTGTACAAGGAGTGATAACATTCAAAAAAGCTTTTAATAAGTCGACTTGAAAAAAGTTTATTTTCATTCACCTATTAATTGAAAACTGCACAGTTATTTTTAGTATATAATAGCAATATTTCTTTGATGATTATGTTACATCCCTCTAGTACCTAGGCGGGCTGGGGCATCTATTTCCTTTCGCGGCGAAAAGAAGCCAGACAAACTGACTCCGCAACGCGTTACGGAACGGAGCAGTTTACCCTCCCATAAGGAAACACTTTCAATAGGATTTCATTAACACAAGGGGCAGTATAAAACGGGCAACATTCTCACCATGGCTATGTAGCACTCGGCGCGGATCTGGCGCAGCATGGCGGCCCATGGCGCGTGCTCCAGCAGTTGCGTGGCGAGGTCCGCGGCGGCGCGGAAGTCCCCGCCGCGGTAATACGCCTCCACCAGTCTCATGTCCTCCGCGTACGCGTCCACTCTGTGGTACGAATCTATCGCTTCCGAGTTGTACGGCTCCGCGTACGTCTGAACGAGGGGGGAGAGACCTCTTAGTGTAAACTCTATGTAATACTTAAGTCAATATAATAGGGATGATGACTATTTTTTTTTTCTTCGTTTATCAGGTAGATTATCAAAAAGTATTGAACAGATATTTTTTCTTTTTTCACATAATATAAACATTCCACAGATATATTGATTTGAAAAGTCGCATGACGTCACGTTTGTGTACACTTATAAGTGAAAATTCACTCAAAAGTGATGTCACGAGCCCCTACTCCCAAACTTTGACGCGCTATAACTTTGTCATTTTTTGGTTGATTGCCCAAAGAAAAAATACGTGTCCATTATTTTTTGATCATCTCACTGACAGATTAAATAGAACTAGCAAACCAGTGAACCAAATGTTCACAAAAATAAAAAAAATGTATTTAATTAATTGAGAACTTCGGAGATTTTGTGTGGTTTCGTTTGAAATAGAAATTACGTGATTTCTCGAAAACCGGAAGTGCTACGTTACTCAAATCCGGTTTGTAGTCTTATCAGACTATTCTTAACTTATAACTTAAACATTCTCTTTATCTATCTCTTACGGTTTGGCCGCTGAAACAGCACCACGGACGGACGGACGGAATTGTCTATTAGACAAGAGATTTCGTTTACTGTACCCCGTCATCACCCCTATTGGATTTCTGTAGTTTTTCCGCGATTAGTTATATAATTTATTCTAAGTACAACGATGTATACGAGCGAACTGAGGCAACTACGGAAGACGACTGGCTCGCCGTCTAAATTAACAATACTGTGTCCCTTCATCATCATCAGCCTATTAATGTTGCTCCTACTGAGGCGCAGGCCTTCCCTATAGATGGATTTCGAGACTGGGCAATGACCCCCCCCCCCCCCCTCGCAGCCCCAGTGCGGATTAGTGTGTGCAACAACTGCAAATGCAGCCGGGACCAACGGCTTAACAAGCCTTCCGAATCATGAAGAGTTTTGTTTGAAGTAATATTATTTTCATCTTTATATAGTCAATTTTCAGAATTAGTTATGTTTTATTAAAAGATTTTAGTGAGTTTATTATATGTGTTATAAATTTGGTGTATGAATATGATTGACATAATTCGTGGACTGCAGTTGTTAAAAGAAACGAGTTCCGGTAATTAATGTTAGAGATTAATTTATGCAAGTTAGCGGCAGATTTAGCGGCCAGATCAACTGCTTCATTGCCAGCAAAGCCTACATACTTTAAAAATAAATTCTATTTGAATATTCATTTAAGTTTAGAAGGTGTTAGTTAGTGAATTTGGACTGCTAATGGATATGTGGACTTTGGATATTCAAGCTCCGTAAGGGATGATTTACTATCGGAGATTATTCTAGCATTGAGAGGGGATTGGGAGGCTGGCCAATTGCAAGCTCTTCCGTTGGCAAGCAGTTCTGCTTGGTAGACCGAACAATAGTTGTAAAGTTTAAATTTTTAAAGGTCACCCATCCAATGATCGACCACTGCATTGTTATTTAGGAAAAAAACATCCTTATGATAACCCTTTCGATGGTTATCACAAAATACATGTGTTTTTTGGTTTCACATTTCACGAGTTTGATTCCCATTTGTGGCGGGCGATTTTTTAAAAACTGTAATAGCAGTACCATTTATTATTAAAAATAAAATGATGTCTTCTTTCAGTAAAAAAATCTCAATATTTAATATACTCTCCCTCCATGTGACAAACCCGTGGGACGTCCTTTATAATAATTAAAAGCAGGCGTAAATTTATTTATTACTAAAACATTTCATTTCATACTCATAACATGACAGTGCACACATTAACTAATCAGCCATTTTGGATTTAGAATACATCACTTAGCTAAACATACATTGCCACCAGAACTAAACAGGTATGCAAAATTTCATTTCGATCGTTTGAGGAATAACTGTTTTAAAATTCAATTGTAAGTTTCATTCGAACTATTATATATAATATGCATAATAGTTCGAATAAAACTTATCATATTATGATATGAGCCGCCTGATGATAAGCGACCGCCAGCAACGCTTACAAAATCAAAAGCATAATTGATTGATTTCAAATAACTACTTTCGCAGTGTCAAATGTGACGGGCTCTTTTCATAGAAAAAATTAACTCAATCCAAATATCGGAGTAGGATAATATACCATTGAGCAACCACACTTTACAATTAGAAAAGGTCTTAAGATGTGCATTATGATAAAAGTAAAAAAAACACACTAATATTATAAAGGCGAAAGTTTGTGAGTGTGTGAGAGTGTATATTTGTTACTTCTTCACGTCTAAACGACTGGAGCGATTTTAATAAAATTTGGTATGGAGTTAGCTGACACCCTGGATTAACACATAGGCTACGTTTTACTGCGGGAAAATATCCCTTATACACCACGGGTAACACAGCTAGTAGTTTTATAAATATCAGAAGACATCACGCACATTGATGTTCCTCAGGAACGTAACTAAAATCGTTAGAAATATGTCCAGTAAATAAATCATTACGCTAAAAGGGGTGATGACGGGGTACAGTAAACGAAATTCTATTTAGTCCGTCAGTTAGATGATCAAAAAATAATGGACACGTATTTTTTCTTTGGGCAATCAACCAAAAAATTACAAAGTTATAGCGCGTCAAAGTTTGGGAGTAGGGGCTCGTGACGTCACTTTTGAGTGAATTTTCACTTATAAGTGTACTAAAACGTGACGTCATGCGACTTTTCAAATCAATATACCTCTGCAATGTTTATATTATGTGAAAAAAGAAAAAATACGTGTCCAATACTTTTTGATAATCTACCTGATAAACGAAGAAAAAAAAATTAGTCATCATGCCTATTCAACAAACTTGAACTTTGTGTTCATTTGATAAACTGTAGGACCAACCGGTTAAAATATTTCTCACTTCCACATAGACGGTTTCATTAATTGCGAAACTACTTGACTCATCATCACAAAGGACTTTGTGGCATTGAAATGTCAATTGCAGACACCTTATCAAGTGACGTCTTTGACTCACACAAAGGAGAACAGTCAAGAACGGATGCTTGTTGTGACAGTTACAGTATCTACTTTGATACTCGTATCAACTGCAGTCAGTACAGTACCCTTAGTACGAGTTTGAGCTCACGAAAACTATCATAGATTTCGTAATTGTAAATTATGTTTCTATGTCCATTTTGTTGTGAAAAGTAACCAAATATTTTTAAAAATTAAGAAGACGCAAACGATTTAATGATAGAATTTAAACACTGTCTATTTGTATTGAAATGAAAACAATAAAATCAGTACCCTTAGTACGAGTGCGAGCTCACGAAAACTATCATAGTTTTCGTAATTGTAAAACTCGTACTAAGGGTACAGTTCACTAACAGTTTAGTAACTCAACTGCATATTGGAGTTGTCACTCCTAACAATTATTAAATTCTAGAGGCCATCCAAGTTCACTTTAGTTTTTTGATAATTCCATGGGAACCTGACACTTTTCTGGGATGAAAAGTATCCAATGTCTCAATCCAGATCATAAACTATGTATATAAGTATTTTTGTTGTGACTAATAACAAACATCCAGACAAAATTAACATTTATGATATTAATAGGCACAGAGTAGGATAAGATTTGATACGAAATATTTATCATTACAAAAGACATGACACAATAGAAAGATAATATGAAAATATATACATATTTAAATCTAAGTTCTGTGATGATAAATTCATCAGACTCAATTCTATGAATAAATATCTACAGTACTGTTCCTAGTTCACCGGCTTATCTTACAAAAATATTATTGGCAATCATTTCAAACACTTTTGTGAAAATAGTAATAATGTAGGAGTATATCAAAGTTTCATAACAGTTATACAACAGTCATATTACCATGAAGTTGGACACTGATTAGTCACACATGAGCTATACACATTTCTACAAGTGATTACATATTAGTGACTGCAGATTACAAACTGCTTTTAACCATTAATTTTGATAACACTGCTTGCTATTAACCAATTTTTTTAAATTATTATAGTTATTCACAGGCAATTAAATAGAAATTAAAGTTGACTGTTGGAAATAATAATGTTGGTAAAGGCAACACAATACCAGCCAGGAAATTTATATTAAAAGATTTGAGAAACTTAGTTTCCGAGTGAATAATTTGAAAAACTACTGTTAAATTCCTTTCAAATAATCTATTCAAAAGAAAGTAATACAAAACAAACAATATTTTAAAACCATAAAAGGATCATAAACATTTTTATTATGCAAGATAAAAACATATTTCAAATTATCATAACACAACATTTATTTTATGAACTCATTTCAGTATGGTTGAGTTATATTTGTGTTATCATTATCACTTACACATCATTTCGATGTTCCTCCGAATTAAATATCAAAGCAGTTTTTGGAAATACATGTTTTATTTATTTTTTTATATTTTATAAAAAGTATTAATCAAGTAAGAAATTGTTTTGCCGCAAAGGTCAAGGTTAGGACAAAGATTGAGAAATGCACTTACTCTATTTGAGGTTAAGGTTGAATATGCAAGAAAATGCTTAAAAAATTATAAGATCTCTGTATTAAAATTTTACTAGCCCTGATCATGGTTGTCTATATTATTATTATAAAGATGAAAGATTTGATCGTTTGTTTGTTTGTATTGAATAGGCTCCGTAACTACGGAACCGATTCTAATAATTCTTTCTCATTTAGAATCCTTCATTAATACAATACTGTAGGAACTATTATGACACCATGATTTATGTTGTATGTATTTTCTTTGAGTATAAATGATGTAAGTGTTCAAAAATATGAGCAGTTAGACACAATACTTATCTTTATATATATAATTCTTCTGTGAGTGTGAATGTCACTGAACTTCTCTTAAACGACTGGACCGATTTTGATGAAATTTTTTGTGTGTGTTCAAGGGGATCTGAGAATGGTTTAGATTCACAATTTTGTCCGCTGGACAATGTTTTTTTAATTAATTTTTAATTTATTAGTAGTTGTGGATTTTGGAATGTTTTACATTGGATCCGACAGACGGCGCTACCATCGCAGTGTCAAATTTTCAAATTAAAGACGTGTAGACAGGACAACGTCTGTCGGATCCGCTAGTTAACAATAAATTTTTAATTATATAAAAATAAAATGTTGGTTACTCACTACTTGTAAAAAGTCTTCTTTGGCTTCATTAAATTGTGCTAATTTGAGGTAGACATTTGCCCTCTGTAGGCGTGCTGATGTGAAATCTGGCTTCAATTCTAACACCTTATAAGTAAATAACAAAATTAATTATGATGGTCATTAATTGTTAATTTCACTGACATTCAATATTAAGTATTACTTTATTATTATAAAGTAATAAGAAAACATAACTACAATCAAACCACAAGGTATGTATAATAAAAACTAAAGGTATGGATCACTAAGGTTACTTTTACAAAATTAAGATCATCCATCAGCCTTTCTCCGTCCACTGCTGGACATAGGCCTCCCCCATAGAACGCCACAATGCGAATTAAGATAAAAAAAAAATATAGCAAATATTAAAGAAAAATATTACTGAAGAATGTTTTTACCAGGAAAAATTACACATGGATCAGACAGTAGACGGGACTCGAACCTGCACCCTCCGCTATCCAGGCATAAGCACTGACCATTATGCTACTACATTCCTAATGGCCGTGTTGTATACTTTCTAGTATTTTTAAGGCTGCATAGCTGTACCATCCCTTCGTATTGTAGGTAACCCACAATGTCAAACATATACCTTTACAAGTATTAAATATTTAAAAGAAGAAAAAGCAATTGTAGATATAATTCGTTCTTGGTCTGCGTGGAATTCATTCTAGTAGAGTTTTCATCTAGCAGTTAAATGCTTAAAAATTTTAAATATGAATATTACTGACCTTAGTAAAGTCTTGTAATGCAAACTTGGCTTTACCAAGAGCATAGTATACTGTGCCTCTCTTGAAATATGTGAGGTAGTTATTTGGATCACCCTCTGAAATACAAAAAAAATGTTTAATTAACAAACGTCATGTTACATATAAATGAAAAACTTTAAAAAAGCTTTTGGTCAGTTTCAAATGAACTATTCTAATATGTATTGTGGGCAGCAAAGCAACAGACAATTCAAAATTCCATATTATATTTTTGAGGACTTCACCAGCAATTTCTTTTGAACAAACATAACCAAGTCTTTAACAATATTCAATCAAGAGCAACCTCAAGGTCTAATGACCTTGACATACAGCGAGGACGGGTTGTTCTCATCAGGGAAAACTGAGATTCCACTCACCTACAGCTGCATGATAGTGTGTCAGTGCGTCAGAAAGCTGACCCCTCGCAAGGAAGTCCCGGCCTAATTCCAGGTGTTTATTAACCTCCGCCGGCGTCGTACACTCTGAAACTGTACCACGTCAGGTCAGAACATTCCTATCCACACAGAAAACAACAAGAAATCCAAAACAAAATAGGTTAATTATGTCAAAACGATACACACACTCTAATACTACTTCTAGCACTAATAAAACAAGGCATGGTGTGACTTTGTTCCAGTTTATATTCATTAAGCAGTCCATAATTAAATTCTAATTTATTAGCAGTCCAGTCCTTATCGCAAAACAACAGCAATTCTGTTGTATTTCAATACAAACTAATTATTTGACAGTGCGACAATCCATTTTTCCTTCGTCTCTTTTCGTGGTTTATTCTGATTGGTCCAAATCAGGGATGTAACTTTTTAATTATGTAAATAAAATTGTTCAAAGATAATAAGCAAATTACATCCTATGTGACAACAATAATTCATTAAATTAATTTTAAATATAAAAATGTGGTACTTTAATTTATTAAAATTAAAAATAAAATGCAATTTATGCATTATATGTTAACATGTAACGTTACAGCTTATTCCTAAACGAGTGCCAAAATGTGAGAGATAACTATTTCTGAACGAAAAAGTATGTGGAAGGTGTTACTAGATTCAATAAAACCCCGTATTTTATGGGACAAAAACGACCAAGTTCTAAAGCACCCACTGATATAATAATATACAAAAACGATAAACTAGGTTGATTTTTGTATTATTAAGACCAAGATCTCTCTAAAAGCCGCATGGTTGGAGTATCACAACAATGTGCATTTTATTCAATTTGTGGTGGGGATGCCGATCGTTGGCTGAAAAGTATTGTGTACCGGCGGTTCAGAGGCCGGTTACCTAACGCCACTCCCGAATCTGGTAGATTTTAGCAACATTTTTGATTGATTGTGTGATGAAAAAGTGGTCACGCTGATATGACCATTTGAAGATATAAAATGAAACGAACTGTTTATATGAGAGTGGTGGTAGGATTGAAAGATTTTCAGAAGTTTTTGTCCGAATTTCACCGAAATTCTGAAATATATTATCCGAAAAAGGTTTTTGACCCTTTCTGAATTTGACTACGTTTACGGTCGAAAAGCAAAGCTAACCGGTAGGTAAATATTATAAACTGAGCAACTATTTCTGTGGCCTTCAAATGATGGTTTTATAAAAAAAACAACCTACTATGCTGTGTTTATTTTGTGCTCAGGTTATAATTAGAAAATTCACTAACAAAAACAACTCATGACCTACATACAGATTTGATACTTTTGTAATATTATTTAGCTATTTCGATAGGTTTGCTCACCGCGGCGGAAATATGAACATGTTTTTTGACGTGACAACGTCTTAAATTAGGTTGCGGCTGGGAGTCACTTATGAAAAAGTGTAACGCTCGGTAACGTTACGATGAGTCTCTCGTGTTAAGTTTAAGTTTACATGTACAATGTTTAAGTAAACAAAATATATTTCTATAGTTAAAATTTGTGCAATTCTTATTTTCATTCAATTCCTTGTTCCTATTGTGCAATTTAATTATATTCATATCAATAAATATTCTACCGAGAAAAAGACGTTGTCACGTAAAATCTTCGCCCGTAAAACCGACTTTACAGGCAACCATTTTTTTATCACTTTACTTTAGTGCTCTAGCATGACCACCACAATATACGTTTTTTATCGCGTATAACTGTCAAACTCCATAGAAAATTTCCAAAAGAGCGTGATTAAAACGAGGGATAAGCCATATCGCAATGCGTAGGTAAATATATTTCTGCCATACGTTAGTCGTTATTCTACCGGAAACGGGGCTGGTTTTCATTATGTATCAACCGACGATATTGAAAACCCTTTTGGTATTAAATATAGTTGGTAGCAAGGTAGCGATAAGTAAGACTATCATATCACTAGCCGCGTCCGTCCCGGTGTATTTTTTTAATATTTATATTTTAACTGCTCGATTTATAAATCTCATAAAAAAATACCAGAGAAAATAAAATTTTAAGAAACTAATGACATGTATGGCAAACTAATCCTACAAGTATTATAATTTAACAAATATCAAAGCGTTATATATTTTATTTTTTAAGCCTGTAACTGCTTGATGTTTAAATCTAAAGAAAATATAACTAGAAAAGATTCCACGCGGACCAGGCAGCAGACGGTACTCGAACCCGAACCCTTCGCTTTCCGGGCGAATGCACTGACCAATTATGCTACCGCGGTCCTGACGGCCGCGTCGAACTTCTTCTAGCCATTCTTAAGCTGCAAGGCAGCGCCATCTCTTTGCATTATAAGTAACCCACAATGTGAAATGAATACTTTTACAAGTATTAAACATTTGAAAGAAGTAATAGCAATTATTATAGTTAGAATTTATTATAAATATCAAAGCGTTTTGGTCTGAGTCTATGCATAACGGGGTTACCATGTTAATGATGTTTGCGACGTCTTCGTTTTTCATGACTCATATTATTTACTGAATATATTGCATTTGCATGTGTTGAAATAAAATGTTTTGAGTAGAACTGCCGAAAGAAAAAGAGGTAGGGTATATTGGAGAAAAAAGTTGGCAACACTAAATTACGTTCTTTCATTTCTCAAGGAAATAGTGATCGGTTCGTGTTTTTGTAAATATGCTTTAATTATCTTTTTTCTAAAAAATATCTTAAAATATGCATGGTTAAGTGATGTGATAACTTGTCCTTATGAATCTCTTTCAATCAACTCACCAGATTGGCTACTTTTATCGAGATATATCTAGATTAGTTTTGTAGTTGGATGTCAACATAACCTCTCACTACTGTCGGTATTTTAGGAATGGCAGACGCACCATCTTCGAGTGCGCCTAAGGCGAAGGCGCCTAAAACAAAGGCTCCCAAAGAGAAGGCCCCGAAGGCCGCCCCAGCAGCGCCTGCGGAGCCCCCTAAGGCTGTGCGTAAAGTGTCTTCCAAACCTCGTCACGGAAGGCTCTATGCTAAGGCTGTATTCACAGGATACAAACGTGGTCTGCGTAACCAGCATGAGAACACAGCCCTTTTAAAGGTAAATTTTGTAAAATGAAATATCCAGCAGATTATTGGATTTGGGTGGACTTTTGTTAACAGTTTGTGTGATGATAAGTGATATTATCATAGTGAACATCTTTTAAAACTGGATGAATAACAAGCAGAAACTGTAGTATGGTTCGGGCAAAAGACCAGCACATATTCTGATTGTTTTCATAAATATAACCTCAAAGTTATAAATTTGGAAAAAAACTATTTGAAGTTAAAGAATAAGTATAAAAAAAAAAGTTACCTTTAACTTTTTGTTATTTTCTTGAAGTGATGCTTAGACATTTGAAACCTGAACTTGAATGTAGACAAAATCATTCTGATCTTTCTCAAAACATCTGTATTAAATGTATTTGTGTATGCCATACTACTAGCAATCTCATTAATTTCAGATTGAGGGAGCCCGTGACCGCAGTGATGCTGATTTCTATGCTGGCAAGCGGTGTGTGTACGTTTACAGAGCAAAGAAGAGGACCCCCATTGCTGGTGGTCCCCGCGGTAAGAAGACCAAGCTTCGCGCCATCTGGGGCAAGGTGACCCGCCCACATGGAAACTCTGGCAGTGTGCGTGCTCGCTTCAAGAACAATCTGCCCGCTCATGCTATGGGACATAGGATACGAGTGGTAAGCATCATGAGTACAATGAAAGGAATTACAAAACATTAAAAAATAGTGGTAATGTATATTTGCACTTGATTTTAACATGTGAAACATAAATTCTGTGTTATGTTAACTTGACACAGAATTATTTGAGATTACACTAACTGTTCTCCGGAATTTCTTTAGGATTAAAATTGCGTAAGGCTGTCTAAATTTTTCAAACAGTCATTTCAACTAGAAAGTAGTTTTATTTCATCATCAAGTATCTGAAGCCTATCATTAAAACATTTTGCATTAAATCGTTTTTATTTATATAATTATAAATAAAAAAAGATTTTTTAGTTATACCGAAACAATGAAATGCCTATTTGAAAAATAAAATACCATAGAACTACAACAGTAGTTAGAATGATGCTTAGACATTTGAAACCTGAATTGTATGTTGACAAAATTCTACTGACTAATCTTATCATATCATTTGCATTAGGACTATAAAGAAGTGCCTAACTAATACATTTTGTTTGTTTCAGATGCTGTATCCTTCCAGGATCTAAGAACCTGTTTAATTTTAAGCTAAAATATACATAAAACCACCAATCAGTTTTTTATTTTAGGGATAATTTAGTTAAAAGATTCATACATTATTGAAGTTCCCGTATTAAGAGTGAAATATTAAGATCCTAATGAGTTATGAATAATGGACTACATACAGTAGTGAAAACCTACTAGGAATAGGTAGGGTCCTTTTAAGGGTCCTATACCCAAAAGATAAAATGGAACCCTATTGCTGTTGGAATTTTATGAAGAAAGCTTGCCCGAAGCCGAATATTTTGTTGAAAATTCAATTAAATTAACATGAGGGGGGTCTCATATGACAAGAAAACAATTTTTTCTATGTGACCCATCATTGTCTAGAGCTCGATGAGTAAAATCTCTTATCTATTAGACAAGTCCGTCCGTCTGTCTGTGGTGCTGTTTCAGCAGCCAAACCGTAAGAGATAGATAAAGAGAATGTTTAAGTTATAAGTTAAGAATAGTCTGATAAGACTACAAATCGGATTTGAGTAACGTAGCACTTCCGGTTTTCGAGAAATCACGAATTTCCAAAAAAACCACAAAATCTCCGAAGTTCTCAATTAATTAAATACATTTTTTTTTTAATTGGTGAACATTTGGTTCACTGGTTTGCTAGTATAAATTTAATTGCTGTTATTTTTTATTTTCAAAATGAACAAATGAGTGGCTGTCCAAATTATCATTTTAAACCAATTTTGTAATGGTGTCATTTCAAAATCTAAACTAGTGAGGAATGTGGAATTTTGGTGTATGATGTACCATAATGTTGTATTAAACAACCAATGTACTTAATAAGTTGTGACGAAAATACACAAACGACTTTTCCTTTCGCGGTTTGTTGTACAGAACCCTTTTTTTTACTTTTTTGAATAACGCCTACAGGTTCTATCGTAGCAATCTAGCCAGTAAGATTGTTTACGCCTTAGATTTTTATTTTTTCTAGGCGTACCAGCGGCGTATTTACCTACAACTTAGGAATCTTGACGACCTCCGTGACCGAGTGGTTTGTACGCCGGGTTTCATGGTGTCGCCGACTCGAGAGGACTCGGAGGCTCTTATTTAAACGGCTAGCACATTACCAATTTTATGGGCCCTATCGAAAGGGCTGCCGTCTCCCCTAGGTAGTGTACCAAGTATTACACTGCCCTATCGGACCCTGACTCAGTCTGAAAGAAAAGGTCGTCTCGGTTGAACGTCGTTTTTATGGCACCCGATGCATTCTGATCTTTGTTAAAAACTTCTCTAAATCCTTCGGCACTTTTTTCTTTATTTAAAGGGACAAATGTAAATAAATGATAAAAAAAAATGATTACGAGTATTAATTATTACTTTCTGGGTTGCCTCAACTTGAACTGTAAATTGACTCTTTGGGAAATAAAAACCATTTTCATTTTTCAAAAAGAACTCAAATAAATAGTTACAATTGGTAACTTTAAAGGTTAGATTAGGTAACCAATTGTATTTTCGTCTACTGAGCTACCTAACTGCCTAACAGTTATTTCACTACCCGATTGTTAGGGCGTAAGGGAGATCGGGGGGCCAATCGCCTAACGGAAATGCTTTGGAAAACGCTAACGCTTACGATTTTATTTTGTTATTTCTAGCCGCCTGAGGTATTCAAATGCCTCGCGCTGTTTCTTTTTCTTTTGCATTGGTAATAACAATATTAAAAAAAAATAGCGTGAGGTATTCGAAAACTTCAGGCGGCTAGAAATAACAATATAAAATCGTAAGCGTTAGCGTTTCCCAAAGCATTTCCGTTAGGCGATTGGCCCCCGGGTCGCGTCGATCGCCCTAGATCGGGTTCCTTATACCTACTCTTATTACACCACCCTTAATCAGGGTAAGGGTTCCTTAAAATTAATTAAGTAGTCTAATAGGCCTTTTAACTCTACACATGGAATATGTAGGCAGTGTCTTAAGTAGCTTTGTGGAGTTGTAAAGTTTTGGTTTGGCCGTGGGTTCCGTACAAAGTTTAGACTACCCCCCGCCCCACCCCAATCCCAAAATCACGTTTTTAGGGTTCCTTACTTCAAAAGGAAGAAAACTGAAACCTTTGTAGGATCACTTTGTTGTCCGTCCGTCCGTCCGTCTGTTAAGACTGTTTTTCTCAGGAACGCGTGGAGGTATCAAACTGAAATTCATATCTAATACTCAGCTCTACTGTCCGTTGGTGCTGTGAAAAAATCAAACTTCTAAGCCAAAGCAATCAAAAGATACAGCCGTTTATGCCGCAAATTTTCGAAACTCGCACGGGAATCAAAACCTACAGGGTACTTCCCGTGAACTTAGAATCTTGAAATTTGGTACGAAGTAACGTCTTATGGTACAGATAAATTGCGAAAACCGTAATTTTTTTTTAAATCATATAATAAAAAATATTTCTTAATAATTATTGAAATATCCCTACAGAAAAGTTTACTAGAAAAAAATCCACGCGGACCAGGCAGCGGACGGGACTCGAACCCGCATCCTTCGCTATCCGGGCGAATGCACTGACCATTATGCTACCACGGCCCTATTAGCCGCGTCGAAATTATCCTAGCCTTAAGCTGCAAGGCAGCGCCATCTCTTCGCATTGTAGGTAACCCACAATGTCAAATGAATACTTTTTCAAGTATTAAACATTTGAAAGAAGAAATAGCAATTATAGTTATGAATTTATTTATTTTTTAAGCATTTAAGCATTTTTTAGATTTAAACATCTAGCAGTTAAATGCTTAAAAAATAAATAAAATCATATCCCTACAGGTTTGTACGGAACCCTCGGTGCGCGAGTCCGACATGCACTTGGCTGGTTTTTTATCCGTGACGTAATAATTTATCGGTGTAGGCGCGTCACAGCGGTGACACTTCCTGTACGTGAGAGTTCCAGCGTCAGTGACCTTGAGCAGGAGCGTGTATGCGCTAGGGTTGAACTTGGAATTTAGACTTGTGCCAATGAATATTTATGCATAGTAAGTTATTAAATGTAAACTGATTCAAGAATACTGGGGTAAATAATGAAGGATAGGTTTGATTTTATAATCAATTTTTAATCATCTAATGTAGGTACTATAACAAATTGCTAACTTTTATATATTTTCTCCTTTTTCGATTCGTTTTATAATTCTTATTATTATCTAAATAATAATAAGATTGCGTAGCGTAGTCAGTCTGTGCGTGCAATGCAGTGCAACGCTATTATTTTACTATTTCGCTACTGCCATCCCTTCGGTCTCGGCAGTCGGCGACTGCCCTCTCCAAGCCCCGCGCGCCGCGCAACGCCCCCGCGCACCTCCAGACACCCACACATAGCCGCGGGCGATTTTACGAGCACACATGCTTAAGTGTCGCTTCTTTTCGCGTAGTGTATATAGATGTAGTCCAGCTGCGAGGATAGATGTTGCGACAGAAAGTGTGCCGCTCCGGCCATTCTCACATTGGCGGCCGGAACCAAATCCCCTACCCCCCTGTAGGCCCTGGACTTACCAGCAGAAACACAACACCCACCACTAAAAGCAAGTGTTATTTTACTATGGTCTTCTGTAAGGTGGGCATTGCTTCCCCAGACGGGCGCTCCAATTCGTGCGGAAAATTCGCTGTGCTCTACTTCTCTTCAGTAGTATTTTAACGTTTATTGCCATTTTAGAATATTATCTTTAAACCGTTGTCTGGCAACGGTAAGTCCAGGCCACGCAGCGCTCCCCCCCTTGTAGTTCTGTCCTGCAAAAAGGGGGGCCGCGGAGGGAGCTACACGGACATGCCCAAGTAGCCCTCCGCAGCGGACGGGGGGCGGTACGGTGGGCACTAGGCCGCGTACTCAGCCCCCACGCGCGGGCACCCCGCGATACCCCGGGAGACCCCTGCCGCGAAGCCCCGACTAGGCCGGGAGGCTGCTAGGTGCTGAGACGCGGAAGAATCCCTAAACGGGGATCCCGCAGCTTCGCGCTAAGCAGCCTAGAGGGTATTCGCAGGGTTTTTAGCGTATATTATGCCGTAAAGCGCCCGTAAGAGTTACGGGGTCCTCAGTGGGCAGCCACTGCTGGGGCTTGTAAGGCTTGCGGGAGCCAGGTGTGAGGTCCGTTCGGCGGTGTGCCTCTTAAAGGCGCCGTCGTCTGTAAACAGGATTTTTTGCCTTAGGAGGGCACACCCTCGCTGTGCTTCGGAGTGCTTCAGAGAATAAAACTGAATTCAGACGATTTGCAACAGCTGTATTTAAGCCATTGTGGGGATTGGAGAACTCCGTCTTATATGGTAGGTACCATTACGTAATTTGTTGTACCTACTACACTTAGATGCATCAGTTGTATTGTTGGCATGACTGAGTGATGTGACATGTGACTGAGTTGAGTGAGGCAAGGAGTGTTGTCAACATCCGCTGTCGTGAGCGGGTGACCCACTTGATTTATTGCTTCATCCGCTTTCTTTAAATAGTCGGTAGGTACAAATGCGTAGTATTGTAGATGTTAGTAGATTTTGACGAGACCAATGCCTACCAAAATCTCTAAAGTCAACATTGTGAAGTTAGGCGTCTTTTTAACTAATCATAATCATAATCAAAATCATTTATTCAGTTTAGGCTGTTACAAGCACATATGAATGTTTAGAAGCTACGCCATCGGTTCGTAAATCTACGGCGGGAGATCTTGTACTGAGAAGAACCGGCAAGAAACTCAGCAAGGGCTGTTTTTTTCTCCCTGTTTTATCATTTACAGAGTCGTCAAGTTGAAAAATGACTTCAGAGATGATTCATGAAGTCACCTTTCATTGCATAATGTGAAATTATACATTAATTGTTCACCTGAATTTTGATTGCTGTGTCACACAGTATAAATATAAACGGAGTTATTTATAATAGGTGTAATTAAACATTTACATATTAAATATCAAAATAGTTAGGGCAGACTCATCGTCGCTGGCAGCACCCGTTCACGAGCATGACGCATGAACCAGCCAGCGCTTCGCTCAACCATATTTTAGGGAACGTAACGACCCGCCTCACACGACACCACCAAAGAGACTTTTAAGAGAACATGACT